CAGCTTATGAATTCATATCAAGTATGGTGAAAAAATCATGTACAATAATAGAGTCTTTTATCCCCCAGGTCAGATTTCTCTAAACTCTACTGAAGATCTTTCCTGGATCCATTACTGGAACTGGTGAATTGTTACTATTCTTTCTCCTCTCAGGTCTTGCCCATAAGCCAAACAATTGGAGGATGAGGTCCTTCCACTCAGGGCATTGCATACTGTTCAGCAGAGTGTTTTTATTCTTTACTTAACCTTACTTGTGTGTTTTCTGTAGGAATCTCCCTTGCTTCTCATGCATTCCCCTCCACCACAGCCTTTTGGTTAGTTTAGAATCTGTGTTTGATCAAGTGCCAGTTTAGTACTCAACTTCAAGGCAGACTTGCACATAGATAGTTACAATAAAAATTCTTGTTTCCTGTTCCAGTCACAAATCTACCATTTCTGTCTTCTGCTTATACTGAGCACCTCTCTAAATGTTCATCCACCAATTCTGGGCTTTTCTGGGATTTTATTTCAAAAAGAGCAGTTAACATTATTCCTTTTTTTGGCACAATTTCTGGCTGATCACCCCTTAAAAGAATTTTCAGGACCATTCCTCTAGTTTCTTTATGCAGGTCAATGAGCTTTAAGAATTACTCTTTTTTCTCTCATATAATTTGATTCAGATTTCATTTCTAAATCTCTGAATCTTCAGTAGTGAGAAACCAAAAACTTAATCACCTTGTGACCAGCCAAACTCTTATCTCTGCCAGTCCACTTTCAGGCATTCTCTAGTGTTAAATCCTTATCAGAGGCACAAGAAAATGTCACTTTTCTATCAATGAACAAGGGACTTTATTACTTACCTCTCCTCATGAATTCCTGTTACAGACTGAAAGAAATATTTCATATAGCTACTGGATACAATGTCTATTCAATCATTTTTCCTGACCAGAACAAAGACCATTCTTTTTCTGCCTTGTGAAAAATGCTTCTTTCCTTGTTTTTGCTGCTGATTACTCTATCCAAAGGGAATGTATGCTCCTCTGTCAAAGAGTAAAGAATGCTCAAGCAAGGAACAAATAAACAGCACTTTTGTGTCTGAAAACATGCCTCCACCATTCTAGAGAGTTCCTTCCCTCATGTTGAGAAGTAATTTAGCACAATCTTCTATTCAAAAATGCTGTGCTCATATTTTAGGCTGAACCCAGAATGATTGACACAGAACTCCAGGAACTGAGTGCTTTGGAGATATTGATCCAGACACAGCAGCAAACAGTACAATTGCAAGGTGCTGTGCCTAAGTTCGTGTGCAAGTTAAATCACAGAGGGAGAAAGGTACAAGATAAGAGTACAATAAGCAGCCAGCTACAGAGAATGGCAAATTAAATTTAGGATAGCATTACTTTCTCTAATCCTCAGCTATGAAACATGATGCTCAGAACAAACAGGAGTGTCACAATTCATATTTTCATATTCATGCTTCAGCAGGAGCAAATCCCTCCACCATGTCACTTCTGTAGGGGAGAAAAGAAATACCAAGTATATTCTTTTTTGGAGAATCAGTGAGAAACCAGAACAGGTCACTCAAGACCTGAGAGCATGCTCTGGAAAAATACAGATAATGTTGTTCATGTGCAATCTGAAACAAGCAATGCACTGCAGGATTAGCTTAGCATTGAAGAAAGCTCTATGCAAAGAGAAAAATAACATTAAAAGATAGTAATATTATTCTGACTTTAGTTTGCCATGCCATTTAGCTGTCTGTTTACTGTATGCTTATATTGCCTTCTTTCTCTCTCTATCATTTAACTTCCACATGATCTTAAACACAAGGGACTGGGCTATAAAACAAAAAAAATATAATTGATCCAAGTTATTTTGGAGTCTCAAGCAATTGGCCAAATATTAGCAGGAAAAAATTCAAGACACATGACTCAGTAGTCCATCCAATCAGCACATGGCATTAGATTTCATCATCATTAATTAAATCAGGTTCTTACAAATACCAGTATTTATGAGTATTGGATTTAATTTCCTTCTTCTTCAACAAAGGTGTGACTGTTTTAGAGACTGGAAAATACTACAAAGTAGAATATACATAGTGTTTTGTTTCTCTTTTCCAAAAAGAGGAAACTAAACTCGAAAGAATAAATTTTCTTATAATTTATTATAAATATTATAAATTATTATTATAATTTATTTTAATATTATAAATTCTTTCTTTAAATATAATAAATTCTTATTATAAATTCTTTCCACTAAACTCGAAAGAATAAATTAGAGTCAAGCAAGAACCTGATCTAGAGATTTGTTAATGAATTTACTTTTTGAAGTATTAGAGAAATTCGTCTGAGGATGCTGGAGGTTGTCTTCAACTGTATGTCTAAAGGAAGAAAAATACTAAAAAAAAAGATAAAAACAACAAAGTATTCATTTACTTGACCAAACAAGCAACATATTGAATTTAAACTAGAGTTCCACCAAATATACTAGTAATTGTCATTTTGGATTGTTCTTATTTTCCATCTAGTCCAGTAGCATTCTCAAGTGCCAGCAGCCTATACCAGAGGCCTTAGAAGAATTTGCTTGAACTTTTCAATGACCATAACAAAAAAAAAATCTTAAAAAAAAACCACATACCCCACCAAAATACCCCAAAAACCAAGAAACTACAAATTCCTTTGTCTCCTCCTTAGAAAAGAAGATATTTCAGTAAAATATTTGACAGCTCATCACGCTTTAGAATAAAGTATTTTCTTGTCAGATCCCCTTCTGCAAAATGCAGACATTCATACACTGTCACTAAACTGGTACTCCATTATTATGAGAGGTTAGTTGTAGTTGTTTGTACACTCAGCTCCTTTCATAATACTCTTAAGTCAATCAAGGGTCTTTCAGAAATACCAGACCTCAAGTTAGAACAAATATACTTAATATATATACTCGGCAGGTGCTATTGATCTTGCTACAGCAATTTTACATTCTTTTTTAAAACACTAGGTTAGGATGTTATTTCATAAAAAATAGAAAATGGAGAAAAGTGCAGTTACTTCTATATTGGAAAATATTATATCCTTTTGTTCATGGCTGCTTTCTGCCTTTTTGATTGAAATTATTCCCATCTTGAACACCTATGAAAAATACAGCTTTGTTAAAATAGAAAACAATCTTCATACACGCTGTTTCAGACTGATATTTCAGCTTGATTTTCCTCTGTTTAGCAAGGGAGTCTTTCAGATATATAAAAATGACACATTATTTGTGCCTCCATTCTGAAGAGATCTCTGATTGGTAGATAAAAAAGAAAGCATCTGTTCTTTGGAGAACTTCTCATTTTCAACAAAGGAACGTGACAATGCTGACCTGGAGCTTCTGTGGCTTCCTATAACACCTAGAACAATGCAATGAATTCTGTGAGAGAAGGCACCCAGGTCAGCAGGCTTCCAATCTACACACAGTTAGATGTTTTTCTAAAAGTTCATTTTGAAATTTCATCTGTTGTCATGAAGATTCAAGTTTTTTGAATCTTTTGTCCCCACAGCTACACTCATCACATGTTGTCTAAAGCTATAAACAAAGATGAAAGGGTCAGGCATACACACTGCCTTGTACAAAAACAATATTTTATTTTCACATGAAAACAACTTCTGGTTTACTTACTTCTTTGAAAAGGTATTGAGTTTGAAATGTCCTTTGTTTAGCCCCTTAGACATAGTCCAAGTGTGAATGCTTTTGCTATTACAGACATTCTCATGTTACACATTAAAGAGTTCTCTCTCTTAATTGCCTCCCTGAGAAAAGTATGACACTCTGATGATGGTGCAAGGAATATAAAGCCCATTGTGAGTAATGGCAAAGACTAAAATAGATGCACAGATGCCTTAAGTTTGGCTTAGTAAGTGCACATTGAAGCCAAGACTATGATTTAATATGATAAAGTACTAAAAAGTATTATGATAAGTACTATGCTCACTAAAACACTAAGTAAAAATTAGGTTTACTTAGAATTCAGCTCACATTACTCAGTTATTTCATTAGTCATCCAGATTTGACACACACATTGTAGGTAATGTATAAAAAGATGTCTAACCTTTTTGGGAAAAGCAGGATGAATTTGGAAAACAAAGTGCAAAATATATGAAAGGCGACACATAAACACAGGCTAAAATCTCTCAGAATTTTCCTACATAGATTATAGTCCTTACTGTTCACACCAATGCTTGATCCAGTGCTGCATTTCAGAAGACATTATACAAATGGTTATGGGTGACAAAATCTATCTCACAATGGTTCCATCATTAACAATTGACATTAAAAATTACATCTGTTAGCAAAGTATTTCTTGAGCATTTTTAATTAAACCAATTCTAGGTGATAGTGTAAATGTCTTTATTATTTGATTTGCCCTATATGTCAAATTCCTGCCAAAATTACCCAGCACATTTGGTGTTTTGACATGGGTTACAGAAGTATGTCTGGATTATGTAACTCTTTTATCACAAGAACTGTGGAAAAAATAAGGTATAACGTTTTCTTGAAAGAACATGCTCTTGATAGTAAATTTCATCTTTGATACACTGATAGCCCATGTGGCCAGAGATTAGTTTCTAACTTCAGGGCATGCTAATTCCACAAGGATTAGTCAAACCCAACGGTTTAACATTCCCAAGTGAGCTCTCTCCAATGAACTGTGCACCACCTCAGTGTGATACCTGCAAGTCACATGATATTAATTGTGAACTGCAGAATCAGACTTAGAGCTTTGAAACCTGAAACCAAATACTCTCCAGGGAAAAAAGAAAAGTCAAAACAATTGTTCTCATTAACAAAAAACCTTCAACAACTACCAACTATACCATCTATCAGGAGAATAGAAGGCAAATATTGTAACACTTCAGGTCCTGCACAAACCTGGTTTGTCATTAACGTGTCAGATGAACCTTGGTTTTGACACACCTAGAATCTCTTTTCCCTAAAAAATCCTAAATTAAAAAAGAAAAAAGAGCAAATCTGTCAAAGTTAAATAGCTTAGAAAGATAAAACCACTTTCATTGCAATCAAAATTATTCATGGAAAAAGAAGAAAGACTGATTTTTAATCACACATGCTTGTAACATAGAAAGGAACACCAAAGGTCAATCTAAGTAGGCAAGCTAATTTTGCACTTTTGAACATCCCACCTGCTTCCTTATTACAGCTCCTATAGTCTCAAATACTCATTCTACTAATCCTGGTCACTGGACACCATGGTGGAGGTGCTACAGAGATTTTTCAGTGTGTTCATTTCCTGCCATGATTTTGTATCAGAGCCTTTTTGACACCTCTCACTAAGCTATGCCTTATAAGACAAGCTCGTCAGCATTCCAGCGTGCAAAACTTCATCCTACATTAGTGACAACGAGAAATGCTACTGTTTTGAAGCTGACAAACTGAGCTTTGGTTTGAACCTTTGAGTAATATTTCTCCATCTGGAAAATGTCAATTCCCAGTTTCCTAGCAAAACAAACAGTTCCTCTAGGCATAGAAAAGTCCAAGAAAACAACACAGCTGTAATTTTCAGGAAAAATCAGGGCTCACAATTCATACATACTTCTAAATATAATATCTGAACTTAGAACAACAAAAGTTCTCTTATTTATTTTAGGCATTAAAAAAAGCAGCCTCAGAATAGACTATTCATTATTATCATTAACAGGCAATCCTGAATTCACTGTTACTATTAATTTCTGATTTTTAAACATGGTGAAGCACATTCACAATTAATTTTCACTATGCTCATTAAACTTCACATCCAACATGTCCCAAGGACAAAAATTCCTCTTACTTTATATCAAAAGGTATTATATTACTGCAGTGTAGTACATAATACTGTGCAATATCTGTGTCATATATTTACATATAAGAGTGTGTGTTGTATTACACAGTACCACAGAATTTTCTGTACAGAGGTTTCTGAAATTGAGGTATATAGACAGACACATCCAAGTAAATTCTAAGGCTGAGATTCTGCAATAAGATCATCTGAAGTAAGTTAACTTAATTAGTTACTTCAGGACACTAAAGAAGCTTCTTTGCCCTTCTGCAAGAGGGCAACATCTGCAAAATGACAATAAGATGTGTATTGTACCTCTCAAGAGCCCATAAACTGTGACTTCTGTCTGGACTGAGACTACTTCAACCCAAGATACAAGAAAAGCTGTAGATTCAAATAAAGTTTTGATCACAATAGAAGTAGTTAAAACTGTTTTCCTATTATGTTGAAGTACATCAACTTTGAGAAGATTGTGATTCATGTTTCATACATGCCACTAGCACATCATATGGTAAAATGAGAGAAAACAGAAATGTTTTAATAAAATCAAAAAATATCTAACCATAGAGCCATTTCACGCTGTATTTTTCTTTGGAAGAACATCACTCCTTCACATCCAAAATCACAAACATAAAAAATAAGAAAATAAACAGGCAACATTTTTCTTCTATTCCCCCTCCTACCCACCACCACCCAGTAAGACTCTATTACATCAGATAATGTATTCTGACCACCATCTAGCATCAACCTGCTTCCAGACACAGCATCACCATTTTGAATTAATTTTACCTATTATTTATTTCATCTCCACCCTGACCCATGTTCAGCACAGATACTCAGACCTGGAGCCCTCACTTTTGAAGGTCATTTGAGAATCCATGCTTGACCTAGAGCAAAGGAGAAGTCTTTCTGACTCATCCGTGTACCTCCGTGCCCAGAGCTGGTCTCCTGCACCCAGTGTTCGAGGCTTCAGCGACAGTGTTTCAAATTGCACATAAGTCTCTTTTGCAAGTTCAGCTTCCTTTGCAGATTTTGGTTTCAAATGAAGTTTCAAAACTTTGTAGAGTAAGAAAAATATCAAAGGTAAAACAACCACACATGCTGCACTGCTGCCCACTATCAGAATGGAAAACTCAGAGCTGCTTTCTTCATTTAACCCATCAGTGGAGAAAACAACACACTGCTCTTTTGTAGGTGGCACGCCTTTGGGTGACACACATGCCATATATTGAGTACTAGGTTGCAAACCATCGATTGTGACTTTGTTTTTGTTAGAATCTGTGCTGAGAGGCAACATATCTTTCTCACCATACTTGGAGTATAACACAGTCACAGCAGAATTGCCTGTGGCATTGACAGTTTTCCAAGTTAAGGTCACTCTTTCATCAGATTCACTGATCACCCTTAGGTTCTTCACAGTAACATTTTGCTCAGCCATACCTGCTGCACTCAATAGAGTACCCTCACCTTTCTTGCTTAACTCTCCAATCTGCTTTCTGTTTCCATTTGTCACTGCCTTTGAAACTTTCTTTCCATCTAGCATGAGCCTGGATTGCTTCCTGTCAGTAAAAGTCATGCTGGTTGATGTTTCAGTGCTCACCAGAGCTGTGGTGGTCGATGTGATGGGAAGAGGTGTGGTTGTCCTCTCGGGTTCCTGCTTGGATTCCTCCTGAGTTGTATTCTGCCTCTCAGCCTCTGGCTTCCTCCCAAACTTCTGTGGTGACACAGTTGTAGTAACTACACCAACCACTGTGACAGTCACAGCAGCTTCTGACATTCCTGCCAAGTTCTTGGCTTTACATCTGTATTCTCCTGCGTCCTTGTATGAAATTCCTGTCAAGCTCATTATGGACCACCTGACACCCTCTCCAGGAGTTTCTTGAATTACTATGGGAAAATGCAAAGAGTAAAACATCATGAATGGGAAGTAAAGAGGAAGTAAATATTATTAGAATACTCCTTACCTTCCTGCCAGAAGGAATTACATGTATGAAAATTTTAAAAATTAAACACAAGCAGTCAAAAAAACACAACAGCAAAAAAAAAAAAAAAAAACAAAACCCAAACTAAATTTCCAAAATAAACTATGGAATTCCCAGCTGTACTCTATTATTAAATAAAAGTGCTCAGCTTGGGTCAAAATGGAAATAAATGTCTAGAGTAATTAGAATACAGTTTGTAATTTCACTAAGAAAAACAAAACCACATAAAGCGAAATCAAATGTCTTAAAGCTCCTATTGACTCTTAAATAGAAGACCCACTGACTTCCTGTGACACTTATCATGCTACCCATTTAAAATTCCATTGGAAATTTCCTTTGTCCTAAGATATTTCAGTTCTCTTACCTTCATCAGACTTATGATAACTGCTGACTACTTGGCATTAGCAAGTAGCATTTTTTACATTTAAGTTACTGCTTAAGTATCTGTCATAGCAGCTAGAATGACATCAGACGATGCCTTGCATCCTTTGCACACAGAAAACATGAATTTGGAAAATTTTATGTTTATAATGCTGAGTTTTAAGTTGCTCAGTTATGGCCTCACTGGCCTTTTTAACATGAATATTTTTAAACAGAGGTTCCAGCAAAAAACTCTCCTTTCTAGCTTCTGAGTTAGGGTCCAACTAACCCAAACTCCATTTCCCTTTATCCTTCCCCCACTTCATCCATTTCTCACTTCCACACACATTGTTCTGGTAACAGATCACATCCACAACCAAAAGAGTCTGCTGGATATGGCAAGACCCAGAACTAGACAGAGAATCTCTTAACAGCTGTTGCACAGATACGATTTCCAGCTTGACACAACACATGGTCCGTTGTTACTCATTACAGTGATCTCAAAGCACAAGCAACCCAACAATTTTTGGTTCTCCCATTTCCTATAAAAGAGCAGTTATACCTGTGTAGTTGACTGGAATATTGTCTGACCTACTCCAAGTGAGCTGTGGCGTTGGGTACCCCGTGGCGTCACAGCGTAGCAGGACGTTGCTGCCCAGCGGGGAGGTGATTTTTGTTGCTGAGGTCATCACCGATGGTTTAAGACACTGCTCTAACTCAGCTCTCTGGAACAAGATTCCTGCCAGGCTCTCAGGTCCACTACATGAAACCAATGGATCAAGAAGTACAATGGAGGTGTCCACAATTTTGGAAAATTCAATTAGCTTTGAAATGCGGCAGTCACAAAACCATGGGTTATCCTGAAAACCTGAGGCAAGAAGGGAAGTGGGGAAAGAAAAAAAAAGTTGGCAGTCAGTACATGGATATTGTGATTACAGTATGACACATGACTATCACCAAATACAATCAAGGACAACCCTGGACCTATTGTGAGCTAATCTTTTCTCTTTCAACTTGTGTTTTTTGTTCAGCTGATTGGTGGGGGAATTCTCAGAGGTTAGGGAGAACAGTATGAATGTTTATTAAACTAGACAACTTCACAGAAGTCTACAGGAGCTTAGTGATGTGCTGGCATTACCCGTGCTTAACTTTGCTATTTATCTACCACATTTAAGACCACTTTGAAAAGATGTCTTAAGACTGATGATACATTTTCACCTGTCTGTGCCTCCTGGAAAGACAGCTTCTCTTTGCTTCGTGTCACTCTCCTCTCCTCTTAGTTCTCCTTTAGACTCTTACAGCTTGACCTTCCCTGACCCTTTTTTCAATGCTTGAGGAAAATACAATGATTTAAGGGTTTAGAGCTTACACCAACATCTCTGCCCCTTGAGAAAAAGGGATAAAGGCTAAGGAGAAAAAGTTTTAGGCCAACAAAATTTTTATCTGGCTCTGAACCACCAGTATTGTTAGAAGTTGGCTTCACTACAGCCTCTGAAATATATTCAAGAAGAATAACAGAGGAGTAGAAAATAGGAAGGACAACAAAACACCATAGTGACTACAATATTCTTATGATGGCACACAAGAACCCTATCTCTCTTCTGTCAGAGCCAATAACATTTGCTTCTTGCTTCCAGTATATTAATTAGAACCTTTTCCCTCTTTGTGAATTTATGACGTTGGAAGAGAATAACCATTTCTGAGAAATATCAGTCTAAATCTTCAGCTGCCCCACTATGTTGACTTTCATAGAGTAACAGTGACTTCACCAGGTAAAAATATGACACAGCATATCACTCAGGAGTTCAATTATTTTCCTATTGGACTCATACTTTTGAATATGCCGTTCTCATTTTCTCCAAGTACTACTAATAAACAAAACTTATGGTCTGAAATAAGGGATGCAAGGACTCCTCACTACTGAATTTACTGATCAGTACAATAAACAAGTCATATAAGTCAAACCAGTGTTGAAAGAAAAAAGAGCCCTGAACACCTGCAAATATTTTTCAGAGTGTAATTTTAAGAATCATCAAAACAGCTATTGGAAAAATGATGGGTTGCTCTGGAAAAACCTGCAGATGAAAGAATACATGAATATTTAACTACTTCTTCCTTTTATGACCAGACCAAGATTAGGTTATTTTAAGCACAATGGTAGTGATTGGTTAAAACTATGGTAAACCCCTATTAATCTCTGCTCTTTAAAACAACACTTGACCTGAAGAGATTCCATGACTTTGACATCACAATCCAATTTCATCCCTTCCAGACAGAGGAGATTTTACATCTATTCACTACTTATTGTTTCTGGGGAACAGAGAAGGAGAAGTCAAAGGAAAGTGAGGAAAGCAGCAACTGCTTTTCCTCAAAAAAATCTCCAAAACATAAAAATTTTGCCTGTGAACTCCACACACATATTCATAAGGAGAAAAGATACTATCCAAGTGTCTTTTATATCTAAGTACATCAGCTGCTTGTGCTCACAGAAATTCTGCTCAATCAGGCACAGATATGTAACTATTTGTGCTCATCTTCTCAGTTATGTGAATTCTAAATATGAAAGGATGAAAGCATTATTGAGTTGGAAGCAAGATAAAACACTGAATTTCATCATACTTCAGCTAGTGTTGAAGAGAACAGAAATGTGAATGTAAACCTAGTTTCCAAGCTACAAGGGGCATTTTGAACTTCATTCAACAGTTTGTGCTGACAAGATGTTAGAAGTGAAAGCAAACACGTGAAAGAATAAAGAAAAGGTTAAAAGGGGGGGGGGAGGGCAGAATTAGAAAACTGAAAATATTAGGGAGCTTTAATAAAAGAAAAAATTTCTTAAGAAGTAAAAATTAAAATAATGGTAAATCTCTGATGGTACACATGTCTGAGGAAAGAGAGTATCTTTATAAACCCTGGATTCTTTTGTAGAAACATCAAGACAGCTTTTTGATCTGAGAAAGAAATACTAGCCAAGGTAAAACAAACATTGATAAATATTTATGCACTGTGATATACCAATGCAGTGCTATTTTAATATTAATTATTAATTATAAATTGCTCTAAAACCCTTTATTCCAGATTTAGCATATTTTATATTTACTCTCACACATTCATATGTATGCTTGCACGTACAATGGCAAACTTATGCATATGTGTGCCTGTGCATGCACATCTTAGTAGTCTCCTCAGTAAGCAGGGTTTCCCTGGGCTGTGTCAATATGGACTTTAGCTATGAGCAAAATTTCCTTTGTTAATCAGTAACCAAACTTGTGTAACACACTGATTTTTAGTTGCTGCAAAATAGCAAGATGTAAACTATTCCAGTTTTGGGCTGATAGAAATAGTCACCACAGCTTGGGCCAGCCTACCCTAGGCTCTTTCCAACTGAACGTACACATTTTGATCCATGGTTCTAAAGAGTAAATTCCATATCCAACACTGTGTCACAGCATTTTCCCCACATGGCAATTGCTAAGGGAATAGTTTCAGGAAAAGCAATATCTGCCCACTGGCTCAGCTTAACAGGTGGGAGGAGCCTGATGGACCTGCAGTATTCCCAATTTTTTGCACCTCTGCATGCAACAGAGGCAAGAGCTCCCATAACTGCCACTCTGTCAAATACTGGACTCTTCTGTTCCTCTCAATGACTCACTAGAATCCACCATATGGAAAATGCTACTGCTGTCATTCCTGCCAGAAATGTAAATCTCTGTACAGCAGCCAGTGCTGAAATGTAGTTGTGGTTTGGATCAAAGTATCAGGCTGTGGCTCCAGGTAACCATGAGAGCCAGAGGAATTCACACACTGGTCCCCCAGTCATTTGCACTGTTGAATTTTCAGCTCACTCCACAGTTCTGTTCTGAGCTGTTCCAAAGGGCACTTTCCAAGACAAAGCCAGACACGGGTCCAGGGACAGTTGGCACTCCAGGGGTTGCTCACTGGAAGGCTTGTGGATGAGACCACACCAAGGATGGCTCTCTCTATCCTGTTGTTTCCCCCAAAGCAAGTGCAGCAGGTTTTGTACCTCCAAACTATTCTGCATGTCTGGCAGCCCTTCAGGTATACAACATATCCCTGCTATTTCATATTCCAAAAGCTGAAATCATCCAAAAGATGAATGATTTCCAATGCAATTCTTACATAACTTCAGGCAGGTTACCCTTAATAAAAAACACCCCCATTCCCAGAATTACATTTGAGAGTCACTGCAGCATCCTGTAGAGCCCACAGAGAACCAAGGGCTAAATGTTACAAAGTGTGGAACAGACAGCCAGCTTTAAAGAGAGCTGCACCTAAACTGTGTGGGTAAGAGCCAGCGGGAGTCACTTGGCCAAAGGGCCAAGAATCATTCCCCAAGCCTCTTTCATTTAGCATAGTGCACACACAGAGGAACATCATACAGTGGGAAGTAGCTAAAAACCCCAAACCTCTTAGTACAGAGATGATGAACTGGATTAAGGAGATGTCAACATTCCAGTCCTCTAGCAAAAGTAACCTTTGGCTCCTCCAAGAGTCCTTGAAGTAAACATGGGGAACCTGAACTTTCTCATTCAAGAAACTGTCTTGCTCAGTCAAGTCACTGAATATAAAATTGCCTCCTGGTATTAAAAAAATTTAAAAATACATTTGCACAAACATATGAGTTTAGGGCCTTGCTGTTTTTGATCTTGTTAATTACATGCACATGACAATCTTGTTTTGCCAGAACCAGGAGCAAAGACAGCTCAACTCATAATTGATTATACAAATTAGAATCCAACTGCTGTGTTCCCTGACTAGACAAAAACAGCATTTATTTACTCTGGGAAATGGGATTCAGCTTCCAGCAGAGTTCTGGCTGCAGTGATCATTCCATGCAGGTACACAGGTCAGGCTGAATGCTCCCCCAGAGAGTGGCTGGAGCACACAGAACACTCTTGAACATCAAAGCATGGAATTGTGGGCATCTCATTTTAAGAGAAACGTTTTTTCAACCTAAAGGTGTCCAAAGGGAACGAGTAACTACGGTAGAAAATGAAAAGAAAATGAAAATACCACACACAGGAAAAAAAAAAAAAGCCAAACTAAACAAATGAAAAAACCCAACAAAACCAAACCAAATTAAAAAAAACCCAACTCAAACAAAAACCAACCAAGCAAACAAGCAAAAAACCCACAAAAACTTCCACATTATATTAGAAGCTGGTGAAAGAAATGGTGTGGTTAGTTAGGATGGCAAGCAGGGAAGGAAAACCTATGAAAGCTTACAATAAGAGATGATTAGTTTTTCTGTATGCCCATGCCCTGTAGGACAAGAGGTAATCAGCTTAGTTTGCAGTAAGGGAGATTGAGGTTAGATATTAGAAGAAACTTTCTCACTACCCTGACAGACAGATAAGCACTGGAGGAGGTGCCCATGGGAGGCTCTGGGGTGCTCTGGCCACAGCTTTAAGAACAGCACTGACTTTACCAGAATGGCTCAGCTCCTCCGGACCTGTATCCCTGTAGGCTTGGTCCTTCCTGACCACATATCTCTGTGATTCCTATCTGGCTCAGAGGAGGAGGAGGATATCTGTGGGATGCACTTCTTTCTCCAGCAAGCCCAGCGGAGAAAGGAGGGCCATCAGAAAGGAAGCACTAATACCAAATGGAGTCTAAATAAATTTGTCAAAATAACCCACTTCATAAAGAGCACGGCACTTTCTAATCTCCAGAGAAAGGGGATGTTTTCTTATTCACTATAAAGTTTCTATGTAGCAAGCACTGTCTGACTGCTTGCTACATGAGAAACTTTATAGTGAATAAGAAAACACCCCCATAGGAAAACTATCATGCCCATGAAAAAAAAAAATTCAGCTAATTGATTCACAGCTTACCCCAAGGTAAATTTACTCAATGTAACACAAGGAAAGTACCACCTGGCATTTTGTATTCACAGGTGCAAATCTATAATGGCTGCACAGAGCCTTCCTTAGCACCTAACAGGAAAAAAAACAACCAGGAGAAGCAAGGTTCTGTCTAAACCCAGTGTGTGTAACTCTGTGGAGGCCTGTATTAAAACCCAGCTGTACTTCATAATAGAAAATGGTCCAAAGGTCACATCTAAAGCCTTCAAAGAACTCAATGCTGGCACCAGAGGGTTTGCCAGGACTACAGGAGGCTGGAAAAGTGCCTGCACCAAGGAAGCCTGCAGATGATTCCCAGAGTTAAGGGGAGAGAAGAGTGTGTGAGGGTTTAAGATTTTTTTGGTGGATTTTTGTGTTCTTTTATTTTCTCAGTTCCTTTAGTTTTGCCTGAAGTGGTGAGGGCTATGTAGGATAAGGAAACCAGTTAATCTCTGGGACTCCCACATGAGATTATGAAGATTAGATCTAGCACAATCAGCTCCCACTTTACAGCCTCCTGTAGCCTTCAGTGTGGGGACAGGGAAAGGAGTACTGAGATGGACTTACTTTTACAGCTTTTAGTCTTTTATTTTTTTTAAGTCTGAATGAACCAAAACCCTTTATCATGCAAGCCTACAGTTACCATATTTATGAAGCCATGCAGCCTACTTGCATCTATTAAATTACTCATAAAAAATATGATCTGAATGAGAGTTTCAAGCTGCAGCTTCTGCTGTGAAACAAACCAGCTAAACAAATGGGAGTTTAGATCAAGAAACTGGAAATATTGGGCAGTACAATGCAGGACGGATCTTTACCTGTGCTTATAGAATTACTGCAGTAGATACAGCCAGATAGTTTTCCTCCCTTCCACCTGCTGCAATACAAACACATCAAAATATGCACTTCTATGTAAACAGTTATAGAGAAGAACAGTATTGATAAAACTGTTCCAGCCTGAGACTGAAAAAGAGAAAGGGGTTACCCTGGCAAGACCTGGAAGTGGAGATAAAGTGTCAGATAAAGCACAATGCCACAAACAGAACTGATGCAACTGCATGCTAGAGAAGGGGATCAAATTATGAAAAAAAACATTCTGACCAAATTATTCTTAAATACTTACCTTAGATATTAATAAATAAAGTATCATGAACAAATTAGGGATCATACTCCTATTTTCTCTCATATTCAATATGTAAATTGCAAAAAACTTGAAGATAATCAGTCAGTTTTAGAGTAATGCAAGGTCAGCAGAGGTCCCAGGGAGACCAGAGCTGCCCTCTTCTAAGCCACCAACACCATCTGCAGCATTGGGTCACAGGACAGGCTTTGTAAGAGCATCAGCTCTAACTGCTTGCTTGGCTTGGGAGCCTCTGGAAAAAAGCAGCTGCAGATGGACATGCTTACAGTTGCAAACACAAAGAAAGATGAGGGAAATGTCATCAGAAACACAATGTAAGTCCTCTATTTATATAGCTAGGGAATGGCCTGTATTCCTGCAATCTGGATTCTCACAGCTTTTACTTCAGTTTTATAGCATTGAGGTAACAACACACATGGAGGTCACCATCTTCATATTATGGTTTTTTGTTACCAGTAGAAAATAAATAAATGAGCACAGAGCAAACCACAAGAGTGACCTGGGTAAAACCCCCTTTCCGGAATCCTAGGCTGGTCCCCTAACTGTTTTCACTTGGAAGTTAATGTTCAGGTATACTTTGGTAAGGAATGAGACAGGCTGCTCAACATACCCAAGATTACTCTCTGTGTCACCAGAATGTCTGTGTTCTTGGACACAATAGCTCCTGAGAAGGGGGGCCAAATGTCCATGAGGTCTGATGGCAAGGTGGTCAGCTTGTTGCTGGATAGGTCCAGGTAGGTGAGGTTTCTCAGGAAGCGGCCAGCATCAGCGGGAATGCTGGTCAGCTTGTTGTTGTGGAGATCAAGAGTCCGTAAGTTGGGCATCTCGGCCAGGGATTCCCAAGGGAAAGTTGAGAGCAGATTACCATCCAGCCTCAGCTCATGCAGCTGTTTCAAGTTATAGAAGCTGCTGATATCAATGTTGGCTACACAGTTGTAAGTGACCCACAGGTACTTGAGATCTACCAGGTAGTAAAAGGCTTCAGTCGGAATCCTTCGTATGACAGTTTTCTCGATACGAAGCTTTACAGTATCCACAGGAACATTCACAGGGATCTCATACATGTCAGGGTCATTACAGAGTACAGACCTAGCAACAGGGAAGGAAAAATAAAGAAAAAAAAAGAGGGAGAGAGACATATTTGCATTTATTTAGCAGAAATTTGAATTTCAGATTTAAATGAAAATGCTGTAGCTTTCTGCAACACTACTACCAGAACCAAGAACACAGAAATCAAGCACAGTCCTCTGCATTTAAAATTTGAACAAACTCCACAAACATGGAGTCTCTAAAGACAAAAAGAATACAAACCAGAACTGATCCTTTCACATGAAACCTAGATTTGCTTTATTCTAAAGTATATAAGCACCACCCTCTATCCACCCCTCACTCTACTGACAACTGAAAGACAGAAGTCATTGTACAAGGAATAATACATGCATGTGTCTCAAGTGGGAAATGCATGCCCCTAATTAAAAATATTAAAATTCAAAATTCAGATTACTAATCTCTAATTTTTCTGTATGATGAGGAGGCAAAGTATTTTCCATACTTACCTTTTGGAATCAACTGAAAATTTTAAATATACCAAAGAAAATTCAGTAAAGAAGAGCTTTCTGGCCCTCTTGTTGATGTCTATGTACAAATTACTTGCTTTACAGAGATGAAAAGAACTTTCTGCTCACAATGATTTCATCAAAATGGGATTTCTCAGCATTTTCAGTTATTTGATTTCAGGAAACAATTTCTTTGGGGTATATTATATGCACATACTAGCTTGAAAGATCCCCTGCTTTCAATAAGTCTATCCTTAATTTACTCCCCCTTCTCTCTAGATTATTCCTCTATTTTACTTTTTCCTCATGCAGCTTTATTCCAGATAGACTGTGACAATAAATAGCGATGACAAAGAGCATCTCCTAAAATTGACACGACAATACCAGGTCACCACATTTCAAATTAATCTTCTTACTATCAAAATTTACATAATTTACTGCAGATTAAAAAAAAATAAAAAGAAACTACTGTATTTGTTTAACCAGAATCCTTACACTAGTAAATTAGTTTGTAGAAATAGAAAGGACATTGCAATGGTAGGAACATCATGGAGCAGAAAGAAATTGCCTCCTGCAGAAAATGAAGGTTTAGAGTAGCTATTTGCTAAGTACAAAGCCATAATCACCATCTGCTCCTGTTCAGAAATGCTGTTAGCCAATGAGTGCTAATGTAAAATATGCTTCATTGCAACTATGCTAGAAATAATTTGCAATGTCTGAGAATGTTATCTCCAATTTCTTCAACACTTTTTCTTATAAATGGCCCTATATAACAAATAATAAAATATATACCTTGTTCCAGTGCCATCACTTCTGCCATGGTAAACGCAAGTGCATTGTGAAGGACAAAAGCCATGAATTTCTTCAAAAAAACTCATTAGGAGGTAGAAGGAAATAAACAGATACATGGCTTCCTCCCAGAAGAACTGACATGAAGAAATGTGAAAGCTTTACTCCTAGGCATTCATGTGCAGTGTGCTACAAATGTGAATGTAGCCATCCATTTAGTAACAGCAGATTACAACAGATTAGCCCAGATCTGTGGTTGCTTAACCTTCAAATGTATCCTGAATGCCATCAGTTAAAGCAACTCACTCTTTACTCTGTCAGAGCACACTGCTTCAAATCACATCCAGCCATGTTCCAAGGCTGTTTCAATGTGTAGATAGTAAAGTTAGTGTGTAATACAATATCTCTTTTCTTCTAAGAGGCAGTGCATATATTATACTGTCTATAAAGCGTTCCAAAGTTCTTGAAGGAAATCTAGTACACCATGAGGATATTGCATGGCATTTTCTTTAATACTGAAAATGGCAAATTCATAGGAAGACTAGATTTCAGAGCTTTTAAAAAATCCCATAAAAACAGGGTTTTGCGAAAAATACATATATCCTTTAAGTTTTACACTGCAAAGCCAAACTGCATGTGCACACATAGTTGAAGTTAAACCTATACAGTCATCTTTTTCACCCTGAACAAATCCATTGCTCATACTGACAAAGGTATTTCTTGAAAATCGAACATCAGACCTACATAAACATAAGACTGATTCATGAAAAATTACCATAAATATTTACTCAGTTTTATGCACCACCCAAGCGAGAAGCTTTAGGGTACATTTTGACACATTTTCAGGATTTGCTGTGCAGTCACAAGCACTAGAAAGAAACATGCTACTTACAAAACAAAAGCTGTCTTTACTACAAATTAATTTGGTTCTACCAGTCAAATTTTAAAAAATACTTTAAATATGCTGAAATTCCTTCAAAACCCTAAAACCAAAAAGAAGATTCTATGGGGTCAGTGTAGATATTTTGACACCCTAACATCTTCACAGAAACAGAACTTTGCAAAGCATATCAACATGGACATTTGTTTTGGACACATACCAAGTCATATAGCCATATGGAGTACTCAGAATATTTGAAATCTGAAAAACTTTCAAGGGAAGCTGTTGGAAAGTACCTCATGAAAGGAATTAATACATGAGAAAAATCTGGGGCTATTGAACCTAACAACTTCGCAGTTCTGTCTTTCCTGGCCCCTCTGTCACCTTGTCTAGCTCTGTAAGAGTCACAGCGGCCACTTTGTTACCCTTTTTGTTTGGGACAGACATATTGGACCAATAAACCTAACTCTCAAAAACTAGTCTTGGCAGGTTTTGTCTCCTTAGCTTCTCTAAAAAGATTACTGTGACTAACACAAACCAGCTAGCTAGGAAAGATTATTATTCAAAAAGAAATTGTCCAAAAGATGAATTAACTTGAACCCAGATTTCACTCCTTTCCATGTAACTTATGCAGGCAAATGACTGGAGTTCTGCGATGTCAGTGCACTTTGAGACACACTCATGGGCAAAGCATTGTTTATGGTTATCTCTTGCCTTGTCTGACAGCGCACCATTGCCAGGATCGCCCTCCGAAACCTGCCAAGGGCAAAAAAGGGGAAACAGAAAGATCATTAGCTGGAGAACCAAAGAGAAGGGAAAAAATCAGTAAGATGGTCTTAACTGTTACAATAGTTCTCAATTTTAGTAGAATGGAGTTAATAAAAAAACATGTATTTGGAATTCAAAAGGACCTGGGTCTTTTACACTTCCAGGTACAGGAGTGTAAAGCTAATTTCATTTCTTAAATAGGGATCACAGCAGCTTTTGTTTATCCTAGGAGAGCATACAGCCATAACAAAGATGAACTCACAAAATGGGAAAAAGCCACAGATGTTTTTCTATTGACTCAGCAGGTATGTGCACCTAGGCAGAGATGACAGGCTCTGCTTGAAGGTTGGTAGCAGAGATGGAAAGAATGCCTCTTTGCAAAACACAGTCCTCAGTCAGAGGCACTGGCTTGATTAGAGCATTTGTTATGCTTGCTCAAATCAGAATAGGCTTAACCTATTTACTTTAATGAAAAGGGTCAATCCATCCTAATCCATTGGAATATGATACATCCCAAATCAAACACGAAAATCTACACCAGTTACAGGTCACTAAGACCACACACTTTGGCCACAGTCAATAAAACCAGTTTACTACTGATGCAACCAAAATTCTGTACTGAATCCCCTAGAGAAAACAGAAGTGGGACTTTCAAAAGCTATGTTAGTATGTTCTCAAAAATATGTATCAGTTCAGGATGTTGCGATGATGATGATAACAATTTACTTTAGGCTTTCCTGTCCAAAAGCTCATCTTCAGTAAATTAACAGCGCCATACCCTTTGCTCTTCACTAATCAGCTTGCCATGTTTTACAGGTGATCCTTCTATACTCAGATGATATGCTAAAATCATGAAATAGACATATTTCAGAAAACTTACTTTTTGTTTGCAATGACATAAATGCAGGGGTTATAGAATGTGGAAGATTTTGCAAAGAGAGGAGCTATGATGGCCATTGCAGGAGAAATTTTCTTTGGGTCTCCAAAGGAAGACCACAAACACACAATAGAATATGGAGACCATGCCACCAAGAACATTATAATCATCACAACAGACATCTGTAAAACGAGAGGAACAGATACATAACCAATATTATCTCAAGATTAAGACCTCACAGCAAAACCTCATAACAAAAGCACATACACCTAGATGAAAACAGAGCTATCCTGAATTAAACAATATATAAACAAGCATACCTGACACATTCTGACAGTTTACACTGAAACCTTGCTTTGGGGATTTAATAGCACACCTCACTGCATGTTGCATTTCATTACATACAATATTCCTTCAAAATCAGCACTACTCATTATGTTGAATCTGCCCATCAGCAGTTTAAATTACCAGAGAGGACTTCACACATGAATTATGACCTCCATAACAAGTCACTGTGGGATGCTATTGCAAACAATAAATATGAGCAGAGACGAAAATTTAAGCCAAATATTTAATTTGGCCGTTAAAAAAAATGTTTCATAAGGCTTAATTATGGTACCATTAAATAAAAGAAAGCAAATGTTCTATGACATATGGTTGAGGAACCCAGAAGTCTCTGCTTGGTTTAATGAAGCATTATAGACATGTTCAAGAATGATTCAGAGGGGGTATCTGAGCTGTCATGTCTTCTCTGCCTGCCTGCAGAGAGGACAACCTGGGTAGCTTGGGGCTCAGGCCCCAGGACATGCCATGCCACAGCCAGACCTGGACAGTGACAAGCTGGGGGTAACAGAGGGTAGGAGAGGTCATCAGCTGAGCCAGACTTTTCTGGATTTTGTCAGGGACATGAATCAGCAGTGGAAACTGGAATGGAAACCTCAAATGAATCAAGAGGACAAAGCAAACCACTAGAAAACCAATCAGATCTGCAGGGCTGCATACACACCCCAGGGCTGCTCACCTACATCACTAGTTAGTCTTTCAGAGATGAACAAAATGAGAAATAAGAAATGAACAGCTACGTTGTATGAGCTGCTCTAGAGGACAATCAATACACAAGCAGTGACTCTCACAGAAGATCCCTATTTAAATGTAAACACAATACCAAAATGTAAGAAAGAACCCTTTCATTTAAAAGTTTGGTGCATACAAAACTTAGAGGAGGCCAATTTTCAAAAAGTACATACTAGTCCAGTTCTAAAGAAGGATATTGTTTAACTCCAAAGTATTAGTTTTTCTCTTTTTTTTTTTATTATAACTTAGTGTCTTCAATGTCTTCAACTGCAAAATAGGAAAAATGCATTTTCTTCACAAACATGAGTCTAAATTTTTACCTGAATCCTCAGTTTCAAGTATTCTGAAAGTTCTTCACAAAAGTAAAACACTCAAATTACTCTTTTTAGGTAAAAATACTATTCCTCAGAACTTAGCAATGAGAAGGTTTTCCAAGGAATGCTGTTTGCACTGATAAGTAATTCAAAAACCTAGGTACATACTCTTCTGTCCAATTCTCTCTCACTTTTTCATCATGCCCAACCATAAATCACATCTTTGCACAAAATCAAAGGAGCTGGTGAACTTTAAGCTTTCTCAAGGACTTTTATACATTAAAAGAATGTCAACCTTCCAGGCAGGATATATCATTACATGCCATAACTCACATTTGCTACTGCTTACATAAGAGATAAGCTCAACAGACTGAAAAGAACAAGGGATTGGAATTACACAGCTTGGGAGCTGGAAAGGCATTCTTATTCCTAGGCCACAAGTTCAAGTGAGAGTTGACCAGTCCATTTCAGACCAGACACATATGTGAACCAAGCAGGAAGCCTAAGGACTCTGCAGACACAGAATAAAAGTTCTCCTAGGGCACCTTGGAGGTACACTTCTAGGTAATGACAGAGGAGAGAGGCAAGGAAAAGTCACAGTGTTCCCAGCTTTCAAAGCAGCTATTCATCTGGAAAGGGTATTAGACCAAAAATGAAGAATTTTGTGTGGTAAGTCAAGCTAAGCGTTTTCACCAAGGCTTAGTATCAGCTCATATTTAGAATAAAAGAAAAGGGGGAATGTAGGAAACTGAAATACTTAAAAGACTGCATCATCCCTTTGCAACTAGGACTTTAGCACATAGAACATGCTTAAAGAAAACACGCACTCATTTACCTTTGTCACATCTACTTGGTCAGACCAATCTATGTTAATGCTCTCCAGGCAGTTACTGCTGGCATATTGTTTCATTGTCCGGGAAACATTGTAATAACAGTAAAACATGACTGTTAAGGGCACAATAAAATTAACAGCAATTACACTCATTGTGTAGGAAATAAAGGACCTGATAAGACAGAAAAACAAAACACAGTAACTTACAAATAGCCATCCAGGAAAAGTTACCAAACAATTTGGCATTTTGATTTGATTATGACATTTTGCAACAAGATCTAAAATAATAAGGAAAATTTTCTTTAGCTATTTTTTTCAATTAGAAAGTACAAGTATTGAAGTCTTGAAGAATATCTCAACTCCTATGGGGTTTTTTGCTAGACTTGCACTATGTTATTTCTATTGTTTTAAATTTTTGTTAAAAATTTTACTTCATACTTCAGAAAGAAGTTATGCTCCTACAGCAATGAATTAAATAATCTTAGACTCCAGTGAGGCAGCAAAGTTAAAAGAAAGCGTGAGGGGGAATCTTACGCATCATTTTTCCTCCAATTTACTGTGCACGTTGCCCCGGTGGGATCGGGAGCGTAGCTGGCCCAGCCTGCAGTAGGCATGGAAGACCAGAAGACTGCATTTATCCAGGCAGCAAGGATGAGAGTGGCATAGCTACGGGTGGTCATTCTTCTTCCTGCAGCCAAGCACAGACACAATTCTCATCTGCTGCTTCTTCCCAGTGTCAAACTAGAGTGACAAGTGGCTTCCAGCAAGCACATAAAGAGTTAATAAAGACCCTTTCCAGTCCCAAACACTGTAGAATACCTGTTTCATTCTGCTGCCTCACATCTCAGTCCTTGCAGCCTTTAAAGCCACTTGAACACCATCACCCATTCCAACTCAGCATACAGGCAATACCTGATCCCAACCCCACGCCAAAAGCTTATTATGCAACACTGCATTCAAGTACATCCTTGGAGGATTGCAGGGGAGGAATTAACAGTTACAACACAGCTGCAACAGAGGAGAGAAAAACACCCAGGGGATGTTAACAGAGGCACACACCTGCTTGACAGAGGTCAAAACCTGACACAGTCAGAGGCTTTTTGTGTGCTTCACTGTATGGATGTGGCCCTCTAAAGACCGAATATGGCCATAAAAACACAATTTATAAACAGAGTAACAGCCTAATGATTAATTTTTTACTTTAATGAGCAGTATGCCAACTAGGTAACTTACTTAACCAGGTACTGTAGGTTCAAGTTCTGCCCAGCGCTGTAACTCTGGAGTCATTCATGAGAAAACAATGCAATCAAATCAGAATTTTATTCCTCCCAACAGTGACTGAGTTTGACCCTAAGTCAGTACCTATATCAGGCCTGCAGATGGTCAGGTAACGATCAACAGCAACAACAGTCAGCAAACCAATACTCGCCATCCCAAAAAAGATATTTAAGGCAGCATAGATCTGAAATTAAAACAAACAAGCAAGAAAACAATTTCTGAGAAACCTTTCAAAGATGCAAGCATAAAGCTGTGTACTGAATCAACACAATTCAGCAAGAGTTCTCTTCCATAAGCAAGGTCTTAAAGGTCTTATTTCAATGCAGAAAATTTGAAATTTGAAGGTGGCTCATTAGAAAGTAAACATTTCAAAAGCACCTGCTTGTGTGCAGATTAGAAATCCTAAAGACAGCAGTCTCAAAATCAAGGAAACACTGTCCTTCAATAAGTAAATTTTGAGATTCAGAGTTTGGAGGGATTTATTTCATGTTATGAATATATATTAAGGAAAACTGAGGAGCATTTGGTCCATCAGAAAGTTACAGCTTTAGCAAACATGAGGTTCTGAATTATCACTCTTTCATCTGTTGTGATGATTTCACAGATGTGGCCCATTGATTTACTCCCTCAGGCTCCATTTTTAAGTGTGTCAGATCTTTTGCACAGAACACATGCTGCAACTCCAACATGCTCCAAATGCATCTGCCTGGTCATCCCATGGGAAGCCTGACCAGGAAGGATGACTGGGAGGGCTGTGTTACCACTGGCACTCCAGTAATACAGAGCCCTGAGCCAGAGCACATGGCACCAGCAGTTATAATAGATGGCATTCAGCCCTCTCAGATCACAGGAATCATTTTGTTTAGGTTGACATGAGCTGTGCTTCAAGTGGTCTTAACTCTCAAATCGGTGAGATCTCTCATCAACCTGAACACACCACAAGCCAATCCAGACCCAAAGATGTTAAAAGTGAGGCTTCCTGCCAAACAATGACTGAATTTTGACTGTGAAGGTAGTGTCTACTGAGGCAAGTGATGTCAGATTGTGATAAGCATCTGTTAGATAAATGTCCAAAATGCTTGCCTTATGACACATTTCAGTATATGCCTTGACATTACTATTCATATTCATGGGCACTTAAGCCCAACAATCTACCAATTATGTAAATTAAAATCACAATACACAGTGAGCAAAGGCCACCATCTCTCTGCTATGGAAGTATATGTTTTTCAGTCAGTCTACTCTTAAAAATAGGCAGCTCTTAAAAGTAGGCTAAATCTTTAATGGAGAGCAAAAACCTTACAGGCCTTCACTTTGGATATCCTATTAGTCCCACCCAAAAAGGACATGAATTTGCCAAGCAGAACTCACCAAGATCTGTCAACCTCACCATCAAAAGTAGCCACTATCAAAGTTTTTTAGCTCTCAGCAAAATCATCAAATGTGCCTGTGCTACTACAACCATCTTCATTTCAGGATTTGGTTTTGGAAGCCTTCTTAAAGCTATTTTAAAATGCCTAGTTGATAGATATAAGGTTACACTTTAATGTTTTCAGATTGTAAATATAAGCTTAAAGGGAAATTCACACAAAGTACCATCTCCAGAAATTGCTGACATCAGAGAACATCAGCTTCAGGTCCAGAGTCACATTCTGCATCTCCACCTCATCCCTTAAAATAACACGAGGCAGAGCCATTACTTATTTCTCAGTTTGCTTTTAAGTGCTGAAACTTTCTCTCTAACTGAATTGCAATACCTGGCATCCAGTATATCCAAATTTCCAGCTTCCATGCAGGTCTGAGGCCGCAGACATGGGGTAACCAATGCCACTAACACCAATATCAGTAAAAGCCAAGTTGATAATAATTGCATTGGTTGCTGTCCGAAGCTCTTTGTATTTAACAAAGATGCCTAACACAACAAGGTTACTGAGAATGCTTATCACTCCTGTAAAAACAGAGAAAGGAAAACTTTACAAAAGGTACACACCAGCCAGCAAAACACATGCAGAAGAAAATGCAGCCTATTGTAATATGTAAGTCCCAAAAGAGATTTATTTTCAGTCAAGTACAAGTTTGCAAAGAGGATAGACACCTGAAAAAGATAAAAAAGCTTTTCCAATTAGGCAACCTTTACATGGATTCAGCCAACGAGACTTTAGATGCAATGAGAGCAAGCAGAGCAGAAATTCAAATGCATCTAGGATTACACTTCAAACCCTCTGGCCACCAAGTACAGTGCTGACCTCCATGCTAAAGAAGAATCCAGGTTGGTGACTGGTAAAAAAAAAAAGTTATAAAAACAATTTATGCACCTGATCTAGAAGAAGGCCCCTGCCAACCCCTGAGATTCAGTAATTTTAAAATCAAATGAGGTAAAATCATAATTACTCCTCAGCTATCTCTCTTTTAACACCACCAAGGATGTCTGTTCTCAGGTGCAGGTCTGCACATCTTTTGGCCCCACAGATGCCATCATCTATCATATTCATATACTCACACATTTCAGGAATGACACTGATCCTATGTGCTCCTAAAATTTAAATAAACAAGGAGCTGAGGATTTGATCTGAAATGAACACCACAGTAAAAAAACCTCATGCAGTGCTAGTTCTGTCAGCTCTCCTGTTGACAGATAGCATGTCATCTCTTGGGAGAGAGGGAGCAAAGGAGAATTACAAGTTTAATAATGCAGGCTTCTTATGAGGCAAGTTTTAACAGATATTACAGCTACCAATAATGAAATCAGACATACAGCAAGACTGTAAACATGTATCCTCAGGGTGAAGAAAAGATCCTTCTAGACACACTTAAATTTAATAATTCAGAGTCCAGCCTTAAAAGTAAGGGGGAAAGAGGGGAGGCAGTGAAAAACAGGGAAGAAAAAGTGGAACCTGTATTAATTAAAAATGTTATTATCACTAAAGTAAAATAATAATAGAGCAAAAAAAGAATTTTGTTTTGAAGAACAAAATATAAGAGAAAAGACGGATTCTATCTTGAACAAAGTGAGAAAAAACATGTAGATACAAGAAATTATCTTTGTTCCTGAGGAACAGGTCAAGAAAATGAAGGAAGTTTCTCCAGGTAGCAGTTAAGCAGTGCCCATTAAAAGAGCATTGAAGCTGGTCAAAGTGCTGGAGCACAAATCTTATGAGGAGCAGCTGAGGGAGCTGGGGTTGTTCAGCCTGGAGAAAAGAAGGGTCAAGGTGACCTTATGGTTCTCTACAACCATCTGAAAGGAAGTGAAGCCAGGTGGTGGTCAGTCTCTTCTCCCAGGAAACAAGTGACAGGGTGAGAAGAAATGGCCTCAAGTTGCACCAGGGAAGAGTACTTTTGGATATTAGGAAAAATTTCTTCACTGAAAGGATTATCAAGCACTGGAACAGGCTGCCCATGAAAGTGGTTGAGTTGCCATCCCTTGGAATGTGTAGGTATGGTGCTTAGGGACAGTTTAGGGTGGGACATGTCAATGTTGGGTAGTAGCATCAAAGTAAAAAAAATCAGGTACATGTATGACATGGAAGTTACCTTTCCAGCTAGCATTTTAAAATGATACCAGAGCATTCACCACTATAAGCAGAAAGACATCCATGAGGCAGCAGAGCTTGCTGCAGCCTGAGTGTCCCTGCTGTCATTACAAAAATGAATACACTGACAGTATAATGCTTAATAATTAATTGCTTCCCAGAAAACAAGAGAGAAACACTTAAATCTTTTAAAGAGCAGCATAATGATGAACACTGCACCCAGACTTCAACCTAATTTTTACATTTCTGCTCATTAACAAGGCTTAAATCTTCCAGATGTGAAATTTGCTATGGTAAGGCTGGTGCAAAGCAATCAATCATACTTTCAAATATTTTGTGGACTTCATTGTCAAAAACATTTCTCATTAAGAAAGTAAAGATATAATTTCTCATTAGGAAAGTAAAGATTTATTAGACTCCCCTACTATAATTAGAAATAAAAAATTGAAAGAAACCTAAAACTGCAAAGCAATCCAACTTTTTTTTCCCCATGACATTTAATTTCCATGCAAGACTAAGAAAGAAGAGCTGGCTTGATTCAGGCTAATTCCACTGATACCCTATGATCACCAATGATAGCTTTGATCCCGAATTGTTTGACCAGCTGGTCAAAACTATCTGAAAATATCACCTTGTTACACACTACATAATCAATGTTAATAAAAATATAAGAGGTATATCTAGGCTTCCAATACTTGGCAATTATTTATCTCTACAGCTTCTTAAGAAGCCTACTGCTCTGTTTAGCTGTTCTATTAGTTTCTCCAAAGACTTTAAATAAATTATTGTCTTTGCATCCAAAAATACCCACTTTTCCAGCACAGCAATTTGATACTCATCACTTCAGACATACATGCTAAATAAACTGCAACCATCAGCAATACTATTTCATATAAATGTAAAATACGTTAAAATTTTAAAGTATTCTAAAATCTAACTACAACATGGAAAAATTTGTGGTACAGTCAATTAATAGAGTAAACTGATTTGATTTTCCATAATAAAGGTATAGAAGGCCTGTTTTTAAACATAGTAGGTTTCTGGTTTGGTTAGCTGGATATTTCATTACTATGGCACTCCCTGCTTCAGAAAAGCACTACTGAAGAAGCTGTGGTTATAAAATGAATAAGTTTTTAAGGGGAGAATAAGAACAATTTTATAATCATTCAAGTTTAGCCAAAGACCACTGCAGTCACAGGGATAAAACACGATGTAAAGCTTCACAGCGTGCTTTTCCAACACGTGTCATTGGTGAAAAATACAGCTGCAACTGGAATCTGCTCTTCTCTGATTAATGACCAGCTCCCTCCCTCTAAGTCACATTCCAACCCTTCCCCTTACATCCCCCTAACAGACACCCGTTCACATGCTCAGACTACACATATATTACTACAAACATGTGGCCCAGGAGAAACCTCAAGATAGCTTAGAGCACATCACAGAAAAATGCAAGATGTGACAGCTATGCCCTATTTTTATCTATTTTGCAAGCTGGCAGAAACTAATTCTCACTCTCTTCTATAATTACATATCAACAAAATGTATTTTTTGAGACACAATGCTGCCTTCAAATATAGAGCAGAAAACTTAGATTCTGCACACTTCAAATGTTTCTGCATATTTCAGTCAGGCAGCTGATTGCTAACTTGTCAGTAAACATGGAGAAAAGCCATCAGACAGCTGTCTAACACAAAAAGAAATACCATCACTATTACTGTACAAAATGAGCATTCAGATCTACAAGTTCTATTTTAAAAAGTTATGCAACAATTTGCCAATGCCCATACCTGCTGTTATTAAGTAAGCTGCAACTATGTTGTGCTCAGTCTGTGTGAAAGCTGAATGAGCTTCATTGTCATTTTCTGAGGAATTGGATGAGTCATTCCAATGCATTGTCGTCTATCCTCTGAAATAATTCATCAAGAAGACGAAACACTACAAAACCTTGTCAGGCAAATTCTTTCATTATTCAACAGACTCACTGAACAATTAAAAGAAGGGGGGTAGGGAGGAGTTCCCCCCACCACTGACAGCCTCCAAGTATGATTTAATTGGACTAAAGTGGAAAGAAGTTTATACTCCCAATCTATGCAAGAGATTGTTAATTAAAACAAAGAGCAGCACAGAACTGAGTAAATTTTGAACAGTGTGCTTAAACTTCATTCTTACTGCTAATGAGATTAACTGTCACATGCCCCCAAACTTTTTCCCCTCAAACCTCTTGTGCAATGCTTTGGAAACCTCAACAAAAGTTGACTCAGTTCAATCAATCATCAGCCTGGCTTGGAACTAATTCCCATCATCACGCAAAGCACAAAAACCTGCAGTACAGCATGAAGAGACAAATGTCAGTTTCCTTAAAAACAGAATACCTTTACTCTAAAGCCCATCCCTTCAAATCTTTAAAGACTTACTTCTTCAAGGTTCTTTGTTTGATTTAAACTCTGACAAAGACAAAAGAAAAATACATTCCAGTATTTTCCTATGTGAAGCATGACTTCCAGAAAACTCAGCTGCTACATCTCTAAAATAGCCCAGTCTATAGAAAAGTTGTTGAATATGCCTCCCTCTCCTAAACACAATACATGTGAGCTTACTTTGGGCAAATTTTTCAAAGCATCTAACTGGACATTCTTCAAAGATCTGAGCAGCAAAAGCTCATGTTTTCTTCCCTCCAGTGATGAGGTACCAGCACACCAAAGCAAAGACTCTTTTAAAAACCCTGCATAAATAGTAGCCATCATAAGTCCTTGCCCAAAGGACTTACACAGAGCATCAGAAAGCAACTGTTCCCCCTCAGTCATACAGTTTTTGCCTTCAGTCAGTATTCATACTGGGTGTAAAAGTGACAAAGATGAGCACCAGTGGTTCTTCAGTTGTATGTGGTAGGTGAAGCAGGTCCCAGGCTAGGGCTGTGCCTTCTGAGCAGCAATAAGGGTGCAGTGACAAAGAATACAGTCATGCCATGGAAAGTATACCTGAAGAGCTCTCGCTTCTCTAACCTGTGAAATACTCTGAGTGTTCCCTCCCACTCCTCACTTCTCCAAAACAAACATCTTGCATCCTTTTTTTAACATAAAGGTAAGAAAATTTTTACATAACCTTGTGCAGTCACAGCATTTAGTCATCATTACTACACACGATCTCGTGTCACAATCCTGCGAGCAAACGTTCCCTTTAATGCCCCACAGTCACAGCTCTCAGGGTGTTTGTCTTATTACAGTATTTTTCCTGTCAGAAGAGGATTAGGCAGGAACAGGGTGGGAGGGCTCTGAAAGGAAAGATGATCCATTTGGCAATGAAGCCACTTTCCTCGTGCAACACTGTCATGCCCTGAAAAATCTGGCAAGGCAATAATTTGATATCTTTGCTTTCCTCCTCTGACACTTTGGCAAGATTCTCAAAAGCACCTCAGATCTTGCAGCTTCCACAGAAGTCAGAGCTTGCAATGTTGAATGTCTCAAAAAAGCAAACCATTACTATTTTTACTCAGATAGGATTCCAGATGTACAGTAGCAATTAACAAAAGAAATTTTATATTTTTTGATTTAAATACAACTTTCTAATACATGCAGTCCCTCCTATCTACCAATTGTTTCTGTCTCTTCTCAAATTGACTAATTTTACTGCAACTACAATTGACAGAGAAAAGTCAAAACTAAAGGCAGACATCATCAAAAGTATTCTTCTTCTGCAACACTGTAGTTCATAAAATAAAGTCAAAAAGATAAAACAGGAAATTAAATATTGAAGTAGAAAAATAATCCACAGCTTCTAAGCCAGATAAAATATGTCTTACCACATTGCTTATTATTTCTGGTATAAGAAGATAAAATCCAAAATCTCAGGCTGTTTTTATCCTTCAATAACACAGCATTACAGGTGTCAGAGGGGCACCTTATAAAGTGATGCTTTTCCTTCCCACCTGTCCCAGATCAGTAGCAAAATGTAACTTCTATTAAAATCCATTCTTCAGTTTGCAGGTATCTCTCTATATATGTGGGGCAATGCAATGAGAGGTTTAGCAAGCTGCTTTCAGTTATATGTAAAATATATATCAATGCACGAACGATGTGAGTAGAGAAACGTACCTTTTGCATTAAAAATAAATATATTGGAAACCAAAACCAACCCCAAACCTCTTCCTGTTTCCAGCAACCCTGCTATAAATCCATCCCAAACCCTCCCATGTTTACTATGCCCTCCACCACTGGAGGGCCCTCTAAGGCAAAAAGTCCCTTTAACCTTTTCCAAAACTGATGCAAATGGTTCAAACCCCAAGGAAAACAAATGAATACTTCTTTCTCCTCATTCTCAAAGACTTTTACTGGACTTAACTGTTGGTTAGAAAAGTTTCACTCCATAGAGATTTTCACATGACAGCCCTGAAAGATGCATGACCCCACTAAGATTTTTACTTGCCATACATCACATAATAGCTATGCTTTTTTTTTTTAAACAATGCTCTTCCTTGCCAAGACAATGCTTTACACAACTGCAAATTACTTTGCACCAGTCTATGTGCAACAGTCCACCATTTCTTCAGGCAAACATCCACATGTACAAGTCAGTGCCAGAGAAAATCCTTCCCATTCTACAACTCCCAGTGGTGCAGACTTACATTAAAATATCCCAATTATTTTCTGCACTTCATCAAATTTCTGTAAATGATATAGCAAATCTCTGAACTACATTGAGCCATCCTATCCCAGCATCGGCATAAAACAAAATAAACAACTCCACAAGGAATGCAGGGCCACTAAAGCCATTCTCATTAGGTAACAATTTAAGCCTTATAATACACCACTGTGTATTACCCTCTGTTTAAGGAGGATTTGGATCCCAAAAAGAAAAAAAAATACTCCAAAATTTTGTTGTGGCATGGACAAAAGGCTCCAGGTCTTCTAAATACTTATGGTCAATATGATCCTGGTGATGCACCTGGCGTCAGTTTCAAAATCAGCTCAAAGTCAGAGCCTACACCTGGGTCAAACACTGCCATGGGAGTGGAGGAGGACACAGGTAGGTGACACCACTACTGCTGTGCACTGATCTGCTCTGAAGCCCACCTGAGCTTCAAAGGAATTTCCAGGACAGCAACCCCACCTTGTGCTGCTGGAGCAGGTGGCAGATGAGAAGCTATTTACACGGTTCAGCGATGTGCTCCAAGGGCTGCCAGAAAGGGGAAAATAAATACAGGGAACACCAAACTGTCATCCAGAGCCTACAGTAGCACCTTACCCCCACTCCCCTCACTTCAGATTGCACTCTGACTTTTCTTCCCCAGACACTGCAACTACTTGAAATTCACCATTTCTGCCAACACACCTATTTCTGTCACAGTACCTGTGACCCCCTCTCCTATTCTCTGCAGCAGCAGCAAAGTATCTGTAATTATGCACATAAATAAATCCAGAACATTTCACTTACTAAGATCAGGAACACTGGGACAGACTCACAGATAGAATCTGAACTAGAAGTTCAAGACTGAGAGAAAGGTGTCATTAAATTAGAGAACTTCTTAGTTCATTACAGCGTTACACTGCAGACATCTTCATTTTTTTGAGACTGAATTTTAATCTGTTTCTGTTAGCACCTTACTTATATTAGGAGGGCAGGGTCACACCATGGCACAGAGAAGACAACACAGAACAAGGACTTAATGTGCCTTGCAAATCCCCTCTTCCCCAGAATGGAGAATGAAAAAAAGGCATCATCATATGGCAAACACATCCAGACAGATTCCTCGTATGTTCTTCCATCCTAAGAACATCCTACAACCTCCATGGAGATCTAAGATTTCTCTGGAGATTTGCATAAAATCCAAACAGCATTGTTAGTATGCATAGGCCATGCCATAATGCTCCCCTCCCTATATCCAAGAGGCCAGTCTTTCCTCCAGAGCTGCAATGGACGTTGCTGTTTAGCCCCTCTGCAGGCAGAGGTCAGAGCCTTTGCTTTGCCCTTGCAGCACCTGAGGCTGACTCACTGCTCCATCTGCTGAGAGACTCGGCACACTCGCCTGCTCCTGGGCTGCCAGGCCACACTGCTGCAGCCCAACACTGCCTGTCACACCCTGCACTCCACAGGCATGGCAGGAGCCTTCTGACACCCTGGATAAAAGCATGTCCCTAAAGAATAGCAAAGAGCAGCACGGATTTGGGTGTAAGAGTGAGGACTGTGTTATGTCAGTCTTTCAAAGTCAGAACAGTAAGGAAAGAGTACCCGAGGCAGCTGCCACTATTGAAGCATAAGTGAGGAAACCCAGCACAGCAGAGGAACCAGCTGCAAACAGGACAGAAGTACTGACACTGCAGGTGCACTTGGTTTGTGTCGTTCAGCTGCAATGTGGAATGCCCAAAATGCAATTACTTACAAAGAATTTAGATAAAAGGCAATTTTACAAAGCCTCAAGTCAAAGCCCTGAGGCACTTAGGCCTAGCACTGCACAGCAACAGAAGCCTAATGATTCTCAGTTCTGGATTTAAGTGACCTGGCTAAAGCTAGGCTTGTAGCAATACCAGGGAAAAAACCCCATGGAATCCCTCATTTCCTGAGTTTCCTGGGGTTAAAAGTAGAGCCAGGTTCTTCCCACAAAAGCAGACCTAGCAGAAATTCAATATTCTGTGTCTCATTTTTTTAAGCTGAAAAACATTTTTACCTATTATCCTTTGCAGCATCTATTCACATTTAAGTTAATTCTTTACTATTTGTTTTTCCACTCTTTCAAGTTTTGTTTTACATGATTAGAAGTAATGGTCACATTTGTTCAAATATGCAGTAACTGTCCAATCCTGGGACTGAAAAATTACCTGCTGCCTTTGTTAAGCAGGAAGCTAACATAATTAAACTGCCTATTACTGCATTCATCAACTAAAAAGCATAAGAGTGCAATCAATTCTGAAAGGAACTTTTTTCACACTGAACAAGATGTTCAAAATACTTGCACATACATTATTCTACAGACCCCTTTTGAAAACTGCTTGGTAGGAGAGTCTGTGAACAGACTCCTGGCTGCAGCTGAAAGAAATCCAGGAAGTTCTATTTTCACCTATTTTATTTCCAAAGGTCCAGAGCAGAGGCACCCTTGTCTCCTCCATCCTTAGGAAGACACAGTCCCTATCTTTCCAACAACCCTCATTACGCATCCATTTAAAGAGACCAGGCCCATGCAGACTTTGTCATGCCTTTCTAAGCAATACATAACTGAAAGCATTGTGTGCAGAGGAGCCCTATGATGAGCTATTTAATCTCAGCTCTACACAAACCCAGAGGTGCAGTACCAGGACATCAAAACCTCAACAGAAATAGGCTAATGGGAAGATGCATGGCCAATAAAAAACGCTTAGCATTTTAATATCAGTGTAATTAGATACCATTAGATGACTGAAGTATAGTATTGATCTTGTCTTGTTCATTAGACAGCACCTTCTAAGAGGACCACATCTTAATGCCTTTGGTTTTCATTAATATTTATACAGAAAAATTCACAAACTATACTCTGCTGTCTTCTCTCTTATACATTATGCATTTAAAAAACTATCAACACAAAAGTTTGAAATTTAATTTATAAAAAAAGGTTCACAAAGGTTGTTTAAACGGCATGTCCAGAAGATTCAATATAAAAGGAGGATGAGAACCAAGGATCAGTCATGCACAGGTTCACACTGAAGTATGTGCATGAAGTGAACCTGTAGGGTCTTTTGAAAACCCACTTCAACTGATTGTTTACTCCCAACTCCAACATGGAGTTAAGCACTGACTGCACTGCTTGTCAGAAACAAACAGTTTAAGAATAACATCAAATTGTGTCTCAGTGAGAAAACTTTACACATATTCTGAGCAATCTTCAGCTCTTCACCTGGGGCTACACTCTCCTCATGCATCCATCAACAGTCATGAAGTGTAAAAATAATTGTCATTTGTAGCTTCAAGTTCTTTATAAAAAGATTTTCAAGGTCCTTTACAAAAATTTTGCATGGTTCTTTGCTTCTGCAGATGACATGATAAGACAATGAGGAGATACTCCTGGCTCCATTTTTAATGTCCTCTTCCTATTTTAAGAGAAAAGAAAAATACATCAAACAATTCTTATCTTAGTTGTGTTTAAAGCAAATTCTATACATAACACTGAATGAATTGATTGAATAAAATGGAAAAAACTAACGTGGTTTTACACAGGCATCAACAAATGCAGAGTACTGTGCTTCAGTTTAAACTACCAGGATGCACAGCAATGTCTTGCATAGAACTATAAACATCTGTAGGATATTAAAAATCACAACATTCATTAATATTTACAAGCTTTAAATTATTTTAATATTTACAAGCTTTTATTTAGGAGCTATTCTTATTATGGAAAGGTAAAAACCCCAGACTCACCCCGAAAGCCTCCTCCACCGCCTCTTCCTCCTCTGAATCCTCCTCCTCCTCCTCCGCCTCTACCTCCTCTGAATCCTCCTCCTCTTCCTCCACCTCTGCCTCCTCCAAATCCTCCTAAACAAAAGAAAAACATTACCCTTTGAGGAGCATGTAAATTCTTGGTTATGCACAACAATTTATTTCATAGACAGCTTATGAAATGTAACCAACAACAACAAAAAACCAGAAAGTGTCAATTGCTGGACAGTTACCAGGTCAATTACTAGTAGCCTGCTTCTTCTTGGGAACATCTGGAGCGTTTTAGGTATTGCTAAATATCTGATATACCATGTCCAAAATACTAACGAGACTGCAAAAAATTACATACACTAACCAGTAATTCATTACAACCATTAGTAATTATTATCTATTAATTGCAACTCAACATTAAACCAAACAAACGAAACCACTTCGAAACACTTGTGCCTTGCTGTAAAGGGGCAGGGTATGGAAAAGAGGCAAGAAACTGTGATGTAAGAAGAGATAAACTTCAGCTTTAACTGAAGGTGTTCAAAAAGCTTTCTGTTGTTATAAATCAGCATTCCCTCCTCCCTATGCTTTGGAGCTGTTACTTAGCCAGTCTCGCCACCACCTGAAAGGTATCACTGCCTTTTCTATAAAGTCAAGCAGAAACATTTTTATTTGCAATACAGCTGTTGATATTCAAGTACTCACCAGCAGCTTTAGAAAACAAAACACAAATACTCCACAGAACAAATGACCAAAGCAACTTATGGCATCTCACATAACTCCAACATCCTGCAGCTCTCATTCTTGTGATCTTACCTCTACCACCGCCTCTTCCTCCCCCACGTCCACCACCACGTCCTCCTCTACCACCTCCTCTGGGAGCACCTTTTTCTCCAGGGGGCCTTGGCAAAAACCTCTGAAGAGGCAGCAGCTTTGCTGGATCAATGTAAAACTGCAGGAAGAGAATTCCATTAGGCTTTCAAAGTACCAAGACTAAAAAGCACATTAATATCTCCCTTTACAAATATCCACAATTTGATCTTACCCCATTATGTCAAACTGTCCTCTGCAAAAAGCCAAGGAGAGAAAGCACAGAAGAAGTAAACCCCAGAATTAAGAAGCTACTAAAATATTGGTGATATTTGTGTGATTTTGTTGCATCTTTTCTCATGGGGCAGGAAAAAGGAGTAATGTGGCAAACACAGAACTGGAAGGGATGAGGAATTTAATTCCCTTGTTTACATAGGACAATCTGCTTTTAAAGTTATTAAATCTTAATAAAGCTTTTACTATCTGCTGACAAATTAGACTTAGCTAACTGATTGCATTCAGTAAAATTCTGTTATTGAGATTGACTTACCTTTTGCATTTTTTTAAATGAAGAGGCTTTCATGTTCTCAGACAGTTTCACTGAAAAATACTGTTGGTTTCCTTAAGGAGCATTGCAGTAATAAAACATGCAAAACTGTGATTTTGATCAGTATATGGAAGGAACATTCAGACATTTTCTGAATGACGTTAGTATTTTATAAATTCAGCTAAGTTTCATCACATTTGCAAGTAAAGGTGATTTAAAGTTGCACATTTTACTTCACATTTAATGTGGGAGAGGAAAATGCACGTAGCTAGTGACTGGTGCTCAACCAACCAACACAGGCTGAGTCTTAACTGGGTTACTCCCTCAGCTATCCTGCTTTTGTCATGGATTCTGACAGTGACAACCTGGCAGTAACAACAAAATGTATCCAGTGTCTCTGTGTCAGGCTGGCTGTGCCAGAGACGTCCTGGCACATCCCACTTTTATGGGCAGGAAAAGTAATAAACAGGACAATGAGCCACAGGACATCTCAGTATAAACTCACTTTATAATTAAATAATGTGCTGGAGCATGAGCAAGGTCTCCTAACACACCAAAAAAACCCAAAAGTCCTTCATCCACCTATGTTATGGCTTAGTAACCTATAGCAGAAAATCTGGACAATTAGCCAGAAAAAGCAACAAGCTGAACAACCATGGATCCAAAACACATCAGCACTGCTAAAGAGTGAAAATCTGATTGACTTCATGTACTCTGTCATATCAAAAAAGCTCTAAGACAGGTACTTAAATGAAGCACCTACAGTTGCAGCAAGACTCGCATATAACTGGTAGCCAAACTCTGAACTATTTTAAAATCCTAGAGAAATCCCATTTCATATCAAATCAATTTTTAAAAAACAAATATTGTAAGTCACACATTTTTTGGAAGGATACAAAGTCTCTCAGCTGTCCAAATATTTCATCCACTTTGCCAATCTGCTCCTTATTATCCAGGTACACTGGGGCGTTGAAATAAGGCACCTTGTTTTCCTCTGTTTTACATTTACAAACTATGTCATCTTCACAGGGATGCATGAACTCTCCCAGCACTGAAATAAAGAACAAACAAGCTAAAGGGCTGGAGCAGACAATCTAAGCAAAATAATAAATGAAGTTTCTCCATGTAACTTACAAACTACCCTTTCTGGAGGGCCCTGGTCATAGCCTCCTCTGTTGAAGCCTCCTCTTCCACCTCCCCGTCCAAAGCCACCTCCTCGCCCGCCGCGGTTGAAGCCGCCTCGGTCACCGCCACCTCCTCCTCGGTTGAAGCCACCTCCTCTTCCTCCTCCACCTCCTCTTCCACGAAAAGACATTCTCTACTGTTTCCTGCATTGTGAACAAAAAAAAATCAGTTGTTTAAGATATAAAAGGTGCATCCCGTTTGCTTTGCTGTACAAATTGCAGTCTCCTGTCAGCCTGGTTTCTTAATTTAATGGTTCATCCTTTTCAATCCTCACTAAAAACATGTTGGCCTATGAAAAATCAAGTTTGCACCTAGGATGTCATCTACTGCAACATCCAACTGCAAAAAGTGACTAGCAGTGACCAGCTTGTCATCTTTCACTCATCTGTATAAAGATGCCACATCTGATGGCAGTCCCCAGCCCCACAAGTGGCACAAAGTGAGAATATCATAGAATGGTTTGGGTTGGAAGGGATCCTAAAGGTCAGCTTCTTCCAACCCCTCTGCTGTATGCAGGGACACGTTCCACAGGCTGCTCAGGGCTCCATCCATCCTGGCCTTGGGATGGGGCATCCACAGCTTCTCTGGGCAGCCTGTTCCAGTGCCTCACCCCTCCCACAGTAAAAAACTTCTTCCTCATATCCTATCTCAACCCACGACCTTTCAGTTTAAAACATCTTCTCTTATTCTATCCCCATGCGCCCGTGTGAAAAGTCCCTCTCAAGCTCTGCTGTAGCCTCCCTCAGGCACTGCAAGGCTGCAGTAAAATCTTCCCAGAGCCTTCTCTTCTCCAGGCTGAACAATCCCCACTCTCAACCTGACTGCAGAGGAGAGGTGCTCCAGCCCTGTGACCACTTTCATGGCCTCCTCTGGGTTTGCTCCAAAAACGCCACGTCCCTCCTGTGCCGGGCACCCCAGAGCTGATGCAGCCCTGCAGGTGCAGAGCAGAGCAGGGCAGAGCAGAGGGGCAGAATCCCCTCCCTGCCCTGCTGCCCACGCTGCTCTGGATGCAGCCCAGGACAGGTTTGGCTCTCTGGGCTGTGAGTGCCCATGGCTGGGTCACGTCCATCCTGTCACCCACCAGCACCCCAAGCCCATCTCAGCAGGGCTGCTCTCCCTCTGTCCATCCCTCCCAGCCCGTGTTGGTACCAGGGGTTCTCTCGACCCTTCCTTCCTCTCGGCCCCGTTAAACCTCGGGAGGCCGCACTGCTCGGGCTCGGCCGCAGTGAGCGCGCACCCGCAGCGCCTCACAGGCCCCTGGGACGCGGCCAGCAGCCAGAGCGGGGGGACCCCGGGGCCATTCCCTGAGGGATGACGGACGGACAGACGGACACGGCAGCGCCAGACGTACCTGCACGTGCGCGCCGCGCCCGCCCGGAAACACCCGCGCTGCCGCAAACGGGGCCGCCTGCCGTAAGTGAAAGGGCGCCTGCCGGCCGACAGTGTCGCAAAGGGCTGTCCATTGCCGGCAATGGCGGCGCGCCCGGAGCGAGCGGGGATGGGCGGGAGTGCCACGGGGGGCTCGGCACGGATACACACCGCGGGATTACAGCGCCGATCCTAACAGCGCTGTAACCCGGCTCTCAGCAACGCCTACGGCCGGGGGAGCCGGGCAGGGATCGATCGGACTCCTCTGCCCTAAGTGCAATCCCAACAAGCGCTTCCTTTTAATCATTTACTTCAAGGGCTTTGCTTTTGTTATCTCGCCATCCACTTCCGATAAAACCAGTTAAGGCAGGCTCTTTTGGAGAGATCAAATTTATCGGTCAGTAGTTGAGGATCCTGTACTTTATTTCTAAATACACTTGAAAATATTTTTCTAATGGTTAAAAATTAAACCCAGATCCAACAGCTGACATTCAAAAGAATCCCAGCCAGAGGAATTTGTCTAGGAAGAGAAATAAAATTTCATCATGCGAATGCTCCCAATTTGCTTGGTTTTCTTTTGTCTCTTTTGTCTTTGTGGATCAGAGGTAAGATATGTTTTATTGTACTAGCAGTAATTTTTTAAAACGTTTAATAAACAGTTTATTGTTATAAAAGCAAAGCCAATTGATTTTTTTTTTAAAGTTCCTTTCATAGTATTTGTGCTTCATACATTTGTTTTAGCCCAGCCTGAATGTTTGAAGTCTGTTATTTCTCTTTAATGCTTTGATTCTACCTGGGGCTTATGCAGACAGGTTTGTGGAAAAGATTTTAATCAGGATCCTATCCTAAACCAAATTTGCAAGCATGGCTTGCACCACAGAAAGGTGCTGCAATTTTCCCCACTTCCCTTTTTTGAGAAATGGGATTGCAATCTTGTGATATGGCAGCAAATTCTGCAGATTTTCTCTGGGCAGAAGTGTCCAGTAGAGCCAATCTGGGCTGGGCATTCAGCACAATCCAAGCCTTTCAGAGAAATTCTGAGATAAAAATCAGCACCTGCTGTTCCCCCTGAGGAGGAACACCTAGCACAACATGGGAGTTGTGCCAAGGCGGATCTGGCTCACAGTTTGGATCCTACTGACCCATGAACAGCAGGAAGAATTTAATAAGATTATACAGCTATGAAAAGGAGAGGTATTGGATTGAATTCTGCCCCAGCTACATCCTCCCTGACTTTACTGTGGGCAGGATTTCTTCATGAGAACTTTAAACTTCAGCTCTATTGATCCAGTTGATACAGCCAAAGCTGATAAATCACATTTGAGGACTAATGTTTTTCTACCATTTTTACACAGAGGCCATCCATATATATTTTCCATGTTCAAAGATTCATCCTGCCCACAGATTTTAGTAAGCAAAAGCACTCAGCCAGCACTGAAGTCAGCAGAGCTGCACAAACACAGGTGCCACTCACCCAGAGGCCATGGGAGGGAGGGTCACAGTCTGTACCTGCAGTGCAGCGATGGCCAGCAGCCACCCTGCAAACCCTCTGCTGTGCAAGACACAGGAAAAACACTGATGGGGATGAGCACTTAATTTTTAGATTGCTTTTGGATACTTGTTAAGGTACTTGAGGTACTTGTAACTTGAGCAGTATGTGGACTCTGCAAAACAAATCATTAATGATAGATTCATTTGCGAGTAAGTAATTCATAAATATTTACACATTATATTGAAATCCAAAGTCAACCAGGCCAATAAAACAAATCTTAGGGAAAAAAAACCAAGTTGCTATTTTTCTCTTTCTCTGGTGCTTAAATTCCTTTATGTTTTAATCTGCTTACCATCCCATTGCTGGAACGTGTTATAAACCAGTGCCTTTAGAAATGTTTATAGTCTGCTGTGCACTTCAGCTGATGTTTGAAAAGTAAAGGGTTTAAAGTTTGTGGGAGATCAGTAAGACTGAAGATCACACCTGGTAAATAATCCAAAAAGAAAAAAAGGAGTTCAGAAAAAGTGAGAGAGACGAGGTGGCCAAAGACAAGGGAATAAACTCTATAAATGGTATTTAGGGAGTTCTGATTAGATAGGAAAAGGCTTATAAATGGACACTTTGCTGAGGTCAGTGAAGGGATCTGCAAAACTCTTGGTACAGTCCCTAATCTTGCTTTCATTTAAAATATTTTTTATAGCAGCATTTATTATTTTTTCAGCACCCTCTAATGCTGAAGAAAACCATTTTCCACAGGTTAAACCTGCCCAGCCCGCTGAGCAAGACAACTACCTCATAGAAGAATGCTTGGGCAACAAATACACCCACAAGTCCTGTAAGAAAGTTTTTTGTCAGCCATGGGAACGATGTGTGGAGGGAAAGTGCCTGTGCAAGCTCCCGTACCAGTGCCCAAAGAACGGCTCTGCAGTTTGCTCTAGCGGTGGCAAGAACTTCCGTACCTACTGCCAGCTGAAGAGCTACGAGTGCCAGCAGCCCAAAGCAAAGTTTCTGCACAGGGGAACGTGCAAGCCTGAAGGTATCCACACCTCCTTTGCCAAAATCTATCCATCAGGGGTGGCTGAGGAGATGCTTACACTATCTACAGAAAGTCTGTTCGTTTTCTTGCACTAGTGACAGCATGAAACAGAAAATGAAAAGTCACTGAAAATCGGAGGTATCTGCTGATTTTCATAAAAAATAAAGTGATTGACAGGCCCAGGTCACCCTGCTGCTGGTTTTGCTACACAGACTGCTGCAGGCATTTTGCAACACAGGTAATAGAAGTAGGATGTGGCCCTCACTCCAAGTATTACTGGTTGGTTATCAAAAATCCCCTAAAGAAGGTCATTATACTAAAATGCAACCTGTTCTTGGTAGATATTCAAGTACTCTTATGGACCCATTACCCTCATTTGTCCTTAAACTGTCATAGTCTGAGAAATTAGCAGGCTCAAAGACACAAAGTCAACCCTCAGAACTAATTCAGGAATACCTGAAGCCTCTGATTCCCAAACTTCTGTTCTTTCCATATAACTTTGGCTGTAAATACAAAAATAGTCCTGATTTGGTTTTGTGCTGTCTTTCCACTAGATACATTTATATAATATGATTTTGTTTGGAGATTTTTTTCATTTCTCTCTTTTTTATTTTTTAAGAAACATTTTCAGTCTCTCTGGGTCATGGAGATTCAAGTTTGCTTCGAGTAAAACCCATGAATCACAAGGAGGACAGTTTTGTGTGTGCTAGTGAATGGACTATGAATGAAGCAAACGTGGCTTGCAGGCACCTTGGCTTTGAATTGTAAGTTTGGGCAATTTATCTCTGGATAACTGCAGGGGATATGAAAAAGTAGTGATGTCTACAGAAGTGTCAGTCACAGCCAACAGTTAAGACAGAAAACTCATAAATGATGTATTGGCTACAATATTCTGATGAAACTTCCTAAACCGACACCTGAGAGTGAAAGCCAAAACACAGATTTCTGTGTTCTGTTACAGGCTACAGCTATACAAGCCATAACTGCTTTGCTTTAAAATAAAGATGGAGACCAATGTGGAGGTGTTCTTTCAGGCCTGTGTTAGGGAAAACGCATGGATGGACCACTCCCAAGTAGATGTGAGCAATGATCAGAGAAAGGTTTCTCAGGACAGATGACAACAGGGCACAGCTCTGTTTTGCCAATTGCATTAGCCAGACTAACAAGGAGCAGAACATGGGGTTTTTCCTTCACCCCTGCTGCCACTGCTTGCTCTGGCCCCAGGGATGGCTGAAGTCACACACAGTTTGTTCTTTTTCCTATGATCACAATGATAACCCAAGTTGTGTATTCAGTTCCTTATAGAGTTACCTCTGCATCCTGTACATAATTATTTACACCTGCAATGTAACATAACTTAGGTAGTGTTGCCTTCCCAACCTTACCAGAAACAAAAACCATAAAAAAAGTCCCCAGAAAACTAAAGCTGCTATTGCAGTGCCTCTCTAGGTGAGAAGCAAGTGTTTCCTAGTCCTGATCAGTGTATCTTCAGATAGCAGAGAGGGGCTTGCCCTGGACAGAGCATTCAGCTGTGGAGTCTCATTGAAAGCCCCCCTAGTTACTTACTTACTTGAGCCATATTTCTTTAAGGTAGGGGACCATACACTGTTAGGAGAATACTGCTCAGGTAAAACCAAGAAAGATAAAATTTATTAATCCCAGCCTTGCAGTGGCCTGAGCTTGCTCAACATTCAGTGGTTTGGATGGGACCAAGGATAGCTGACCCCATGCAGGATGGTTCCCAAGTTATGGCTCACCCATGTCCACACAGAGACAGAGGTCTGAGCTTACAGGTTCTGCTGCACAAGGAGACTTTTCTATCCATCATGATACACAGTGACTTTCATAGACCTACATGTGCATTTGGGGACAGCAGCCTGCAAAAATTAGCACTTCTTCCAAAGTAACATCTCCTGTTTTCCCCTAGACAACTCCAGTTGCTAGTCTGCTCTTTTTCTTAGCCATGACCAAAATTCTTTGACACTGAGGAAAATCGTGTAAAGTCTAAATAATAAAAGCAGTGGACAATCCATTGTGAAATTATATAATTTGTTGTTGTTATTATTATCTTCACAGAGGTGCTGAATATTACCAAGTCACTTCCAGCATCACAGAATCTGCCTTAAATTCATTAAACTGTCTGCAAATAAGTTGCAGGGGCCTAGAGACAAGTCTTGCTGAATGTCACATAGAGATGAAATCAAGAGATAGTAATGAGGGACTGGTTAGCCTGCAGTGCCATGAAAATCTCAGAGGTTAGTAGATCTTTTTAGTTTAATATCTATTTGGTGTTTTTACATTTTAAGTATATTTTAAACAATGAGGACCCAGTTTGCTGAACTCTCAGCCACAGAAAACCCACACTGAAACCTTTTGATCACTTTAAATCATCATTTTGTAGACTTTATGACAATTGAGGCAATCTGGAGTCAAGACAGTCTTGAGTTTTCAAGTTTGAAAAATCACTGCTGTCCCCAAAGTATTTTTACAGCTATAAAGGAAATTAATTTCATCCTTGGTTCTCTTTGTTCCACCATCCCTTCCAAGGGTATCAAGGTATATTGTATCCCATGAATCTTACCTCTCCTGGCCTAACTGGTGAGGAGACAGGTGACAATGTGGTGCTCACTGTTTGAGGGACATCAATTAGCACACCACTAGCACCGCAGCCAGACAAGCATGACCACAGTGGGAAACTGCTGGTGTCTTCTGTGGGGTTTCAGGACTCCTCAGTTTCTCACTGTAAAGGGGGAATCAAAGCCTTGTTTAGAATTCTAACAGCTTTTCATTCCCTGTAGGGACCTTTCTTTGGCACTGGTGAGCATAGCCTGAGATGCTGTGGACTGGAGGAAGTGCTATGAATCACTTTTTTCTTACAAAAGCAGTTATTCACAGACTCTTGATGAGTTCTTTCTAGAGGAGGAACCTCCATCATCCTAATCCCTTGAATCATTTATAGTGGGTTTGAATTGATCATTTCTGGTTTAGTCCTCACCAGTCCTTTCATTAGAAGAAATTAAATTCCCTTTTGCCAGGCTACTGGCAAATTTGGAGGAAGAAAATGAGTGGTCATGCTGCAACCCTGGTGAAAAGCAACCAAAGCAATAAAAAATTCTTCCTATTTACCTGACTGGGCCCCAGCATACCTACTGCTGATGGGCCAAACTGCTGACAGAATCCAACATGCAGGCAGAGCATTTCCCTGGGCAATTATGAACCCACACCAAATTCCACACTAACTTCATTTTCATCTTGCTGCACAGTTTGTTCAGATGGGGAGTTTCACTGTGTCAACAAGAAGTGCATTTCTCTGAATAAAACCTGTGATGGGATCAATGACTGTGGAGACCTGAGTGATGAACTGTGCTGTAGAGGTAACAATTTCCTGTCAGGTGTTTCAAAATAATTTCAGCAGAAATCCACCCACAAAGAATTTTTACAGTGATGTAACAGCTAAATTCTCTTTTCCCTTAAGTCACTACATTAAACAAATCTGACCATAATTTACACATAGGCAAGTGCAAAAAAGCAGGCATGAAATACCATTTTGAAGCAGACAAGTGATCTCTTGAGAATCTGGATTTCTTCAGAGAATGAGAAAATACAATGAGATCATTTAGGAGGCTGCTAAACATTGATACAAAAAATTAGTCCTTATAGCATGAAAATGTACTTTTACTTGGAAAAAAACAATAGTAATTAAACAAAGACACTGGTTTTCTAATGAACTATCTTTAAACCAAAAAAAGATCTCCCTTAAATGTATTAATAATGCAAGATCATCCATGGAACATCTGTGATGATTTCCTGGCACACTGCTTGTTCATGAGCAGTCACTCCTTTAGCATCTGCAATTCCAGCTGTAAAAGTTGTGATTGGAAATGAGGAATGATCTAGCATGACTTGAATGCAGGAGAATACTTTCAAAATTTGTGTTTCAGGTGCCAAATGCTAAAGTAGGTTACAAATCCCATCATTATCCTTCCATAACCTCAATTTTGTAGTGTTGCAATTGTAAGTAATTTTAATGAGATAATCGTGGAAACATGGTCACAGTAATTTTAGAACAAAAATAATAAATACTTGTGATTTCATATATTTAGTGGACATGTATTTGGACTCCACATGACAAAAATAGTGCTGTTTCAGCTGAATGGGCTGAAAACAATGCTTCCTGAAATCAACATAAGTATTTAAACTGAGTTCAGTGGTCTTTGGATCATCTTGGGATATCTGGATACTTTTAGAGAACTACCTTATTTTCAGTTAGATACAAATACCTTTAAAAATAGATTGACATCAAATTTTAAATTAGCTCAAAAGACCCTACCATGAATTCATGCACTGCTTTGCTTTTAATAACATTTAAAGGGATCACAAAATTAAAAAGGAAGGGGGTTTTCAGGTTCATAATACCTGTTCATATAACAAAGAATTTTAGAAGAGGTAAGTTATTTCATCCAGTGTTCTCCTGTCAGGACTCTTGCTTCCTAACCCTGCATTTAGGCATTTAGCTCGTTCAACCAAAAATCAGCTTGGTCTCTGATTTGGGGGGTGGGATTTGGCACAAGCATCAGTTCCTCATTTCAGGTGATCAGTGATGCTGGCAAAATTGGAGATCTTTTGGCTGAGGCTGAGTGTGGACATGTTATGGATGAAACTGGTACGTAGTGACACCAAGTCTAGCAGTAGTGCAGTGGTAACAGAGATCCACATTTTTTAAATCTTATAGTTTCAAATTTTAAAGTGAGGAAAGCCAAGTATTCATTTTGTTCAGATGCACATTACTTTTGTAATCTCTTTATGAACAGGCAGGTCCTCTATAACATGGATATTTGTTTGGTTTAGATTGTAAAAAGCTGACAGTGTGAGGTTGCTGAACCAAATCATGCTGTGATTTACATTTGTAATTCCCCTGTGTTACAGAGTGCAGAGAAAACAGCTTCCACTGCCGGTCAAACATCTGTATTCCAAATAAGAGTGTCTGCAACAAAGAAATTGACTGCCTCACAGGAGAGGATGAAGCTGGAGCTATCTGTGCAGGTTCTTCTTCTTTCATTCAGCTCAATTTTAAGTAGAGGCTACACAATGAATATATACTATTTTATTTATTATGCAAGAACCGGTCTTCCCAATATTATGTTATGCATAGTAGGAAGAAAAGGTCATAGAATTTTCTCTCCTTTCTTTCTGGAAAGGCCTGACAAGAAAACTAAATGAAGGAAGAAACATGATGTTTTTGGAAGGTTAAGGCAGATTATGTCTTTTCTTTATGTGGCCAGCTTGATATCAAACTGGCATCCCCTAAGAAAGTGTAAGAAACAGGAATACTTTCCTCACAAATGAGGAATTCAACAAGTTAGGCAATTTCTTTTGTGCTTTTCCCCTCTCTGTTGAAAAGATTATGTTTTCTTTGAAAATTAGAAATTTTTCTTGCTCTCAAGAGACACAAAGTCTAAGGTCAAAAAAGTAAAAACTACTGGAAAATGGTAATCAGTACAGGTAAACTGAACTCCAAATGTAAACCTTACTGTCATTGACATGAGAACAGACACAATGCTCAGCTCCCATATAGGGACTGAATTCAATGGACACTTTGTGAATAAAAGCTGACAAACCGGATTCAGCAAGCATTTAATTTACCTCTCATGTTGAATATCCTCCCTTACCCTATTAAAGGAGACACATAGTACCCATCTGCATAATCTAAATTCGGGGGAAAAGACCAAATAAAAACCTGTTACTTAATGCTCCTTTGAGTTTTAGAAAGTTTCGAAAGGTCAGAGGGCCAGGAGAAGAAATTTTGGTTGTTTCTGGTGGAGGAGAATGGGACATCTCCCCAGAGATCACAAACAAAAAAAGGGCAGTTTCTCAGGGTTTCTTGGCAGAAGGGGTCCCTAGGCTTGGAGAGTGAGCAGATGTTGTGTAGTTATGAATGAGTATCTGCTGGCTGCTGGTCATTTGCAGGCTGAGGCAGCCAAACAGTGCCCAGCAGGAAGGGAAAGGGGAAAAGGAGGGGGAAAAGGAAAGAGCAGGCACCTGGCTGGAGAGTATTGCTCTCCATGAGAACAGTATGCCCTTATGCATTTAAAATGTGTTCCATCATCGTGGCATACACACATATATTCAAGTAAATGTTTGCTGATAATTTAAATATTTTGTTAATACTACAGGCAAAGAAGAAGATGCTGAAAATAACAGTATGGACAAAGGTAAGTGTAATTAGCCCTCCAAAATCACCAGCATACCCTCTTATTAGTGACTTTCTAGCTACCAGCCAGCTGCTCAGATCTGGAACACTCAGATATTCTGACTTTGTAATTTACTAATATACACTCTGGGACTTACTGTTTGTCTCACTTTCAACTGACTTCAGGAATGCCATAATAATTCATCCTAGCTTTGGACCTACATCTGCATGCTTTGGCAACTGGTAAACTCTCAGCTGAGGTAAACGTAAACTCTGCAAACCTAGGGGAACATCCTTAAAATTATTTGCCTGAATGCACGCAGCATTGAAAAATGGAGACAAGTGATGTGATGCTCAGACACAAGCAATTTTGAAAGCAAAAAGAGATGCGAATATTTTTGGTCTTTGTTTTCCTGCTATTTCAGCTACTGGCATATTCACAGTACTCAAATTTTAGCAAGAATGTATACCTGAATTCTGAAATACGTTTTTCCTTTTTGTTAAAGAAAGAAAAATGATAAAGACACTTCTTCCCCAAGTGCACTGTGGTGTTAGGAATCACACACTAACTCGACGGAAAAGAATTGTAGGTGGAGAGATTGCTGGAAAGGTAAAAAAAGCAACTTTATCAGATATGAGTTCATTCAGCATTGATTTAAATGGGCAGTATTTTCCTTCGGTTAAAGGCATGGAAATAACAAAATCAGCTACAATGCTTATGTCATGTTTTGCAGCAGTAGTGGCATTGCATTGAATGTAAGTAAAGAGAAGCACAGTTTATAAAGTAAAATATGGGCTTACAAAGTTAAGCATTGAAGTACAAGTAGACACTGAAAATTACTCAGAGAAATTATTCATACTACCGCCAAAAATAACAATTCCAACATAATGGAGTTAAATTCTGTGGCTTTGAAACAGAATATAACAAAAATGTATTCAAACCACGTGAGGTCCTCCATCTTTTTTTCTGACTACAAGGCGTTTCATGACTAAAAGCTGGAGGTAAAGATATATTGCACAAAGTCAGAATACTGAATAAAATTACTGAATTTTTGTATATATATCCTTTGTATCTGATGGAGCCCAATTTACAACTTCTGGATAGCAAACCTTTTATTAAAATCAGATGTTTTTCTCTTTATGCCCTAAAAGTTGTACAATTGTAATGATTTCTCATTATTTGTGTTTGTTGATTGAATAGGGTGAATTTCCTTGGCAAGTGGCAATTAAAGACACCAGCAATGAAGGTTCCACAGTGTTCTGTGGAGGGGTTTATATTGGTGGCTGTTGGGTTCTGACTGCTGCTCACTGTGTCAGGTAAAAACAATTCATTCTGAAATTCTTTCTGCAAGGCAGAAAAATGGATTTGGATATTACTGCCCTTCTCAGCTATGTGTTTGTTAATTTCCATTTGTCTGTTGAATAGATCAGTTTAAAACACTGACTCACCCACATTAAAGATGAGGAAGATTCAGAGAAAACAGAGGGTTTTGGCAGTGAATAGAAAGATAAAAAGCCAACTATGAGTTTGAAGAGACATGGCATACTTCAGTCAGATGGCAGCAGGCAGGAAAGGTTCATTGTAACCACTCTGCTTGAAGTTAAATACAACAGATCTCTTCTCCATGTCTACCTTGTGGAAGTCCAGGATCTGTTCCCAGAGAATGTCCCTGGGATTATATATTCCCCAGAACAAGCCAAGAGCAGATGTGTAAGATTTGCCAGTCCCATCCACATCTGCTCACCTTTATCAGCAAAAGTACCTGTTTTCCGTTTGTCACAACACTAAACGGAGCCCAGTTTTAACATCATTTTTGGTATTAGTTTCAGTACTCACCATGTGTCATCTGCCTTGAATTTGCTACACTTCAGAAAAACCTGGGCATTAAGTCCAGAAAGAAAATATATGCATCTAACATGGACTTTAATTCTATAAAAACTTCAATAAAATGCAACACTTTACAGCTCTAAACCAAATGTAAGGCTTGTGTCTATTTCATTGGTTTTTTCCAGGGCAAATCGGGTCCATCTCTACCTTGTCTGGGTTGGAATGTTGAACACAATAGCGTATGACAAAGAGATAAATACTTACAAACTAAACCAAGTGATAATTCATGAAAACTACAATGCATCAACGTACGAAAATGACATTGCTCTGCTGGAGCTGAAAGGTTCTGGGCTCGGAGAATGCTCCCTGGAAGAGACCAGCATACCTGCCTGTGTCCCCTGGTCAGAGTATATGTTTAAGACTGGTGACAGATGCAAGATTTCTGGATGGGGACTAGAGAAAGGTATTTGCTTTAGTGCTCACTTCAGGAATGTATTATTTGTATAACTCATTTCCTAATTGGGGTGAGCTTTCATTTTGAAAAGGCACAAAGCACTCAGAAGAGGCTGAGGACAGAAAATATAGGTTGTGGCTTGGCACTCAGGTAGCACTGTTGGGTTCTCTTTTCTGTACTGCTTCCTCTGCTGTTTCAGCTACTTTGTATATTGATATAGAGGACACACCTGGATGAAAACTACCCTGAAAGTAAGAAATTTTCCTTTTGTCCATCCAACAGTTCTGTCAGCTGTGAAGACATGTAACAGATGTTGTTTGGTAGCTCACAGGGGCCCGCAGTCACGCCTGTCCTCTGCCCCCTTCCCAACAGGATCTGAGCTGCAGCCAGCAGTCATGAAACTCAGCACATCCTGTCTCTGCCATGTTGGGTTCAGCCCACAGAAGCTTGCACAGAGACAAATATAATCGTACTTTCAAAGATTTGGGAAGCATTTGTCTTGTATGACAGTGTTACAGCATGGTGTTGGAGCTACCACATACTGGTTGGGAGGTTTCTCCTCTCCATACTGAGTAGCATCCACCCAGCAAATGCAAAGTTGGGAATTGCTAGCAAACAGAGCATCTGTTTAGACTTGTGAATCCATACCTTGCTCATATTTTCAGTAACTGCTCCATAAAGATAGAGCAGAGTTGGAAAAAAGGTAATAAGGATGAATCACAGCCACATCTCCAGTTCACAAAAATCAATGTACCCATTTCCAAGGTCCTGGAAACCTTCATGTGGAAAACACAGGAAAAAAGCCCTGAGGAACACAAGGAAATGGAAAGGGTGAAAAATGGCACAAAATCTGCTTTTATTTTGAAATATATGGTCAATGCAGTGTAATTCATATGGGGTAAATATCAGTGACAGTTTAAGGTTTCTGGTTTATAATACTGAAGATAGTATATTCTGTAAATAAGTAAATAACTAACTTTCAAATTATTATATTAAATGTGTCTAATGTGTACTTGTAATTTTAAATTTTGATTTTTTTTTTCTAGGTTACACAAAACAATTTATCCTCAAGTGGGGAAATGTTAATTTATTTCACAATTGTTCTGAATTGTATCCAGGACGATTTTTTAAAAAAATGGCATGTGCAGGTAAGCATCCATTTTCTTACTATAATTTCTCTACCATCAAGCTCTCAGTTTAGACCAGACCTACTGGCTAGGAACCTTCTAGACTTAAGAAAGACAATAAATAAACTGCCACAACATCACTGTTGGCTACATGCCAGCCACTGAGTCTGTGGCATCCACCATTATACACCTATTTGTAAACAAATAGGTGTATAATAGCATGATGAGTTTCTGTGATTATTTGGGCAATTTTCTGCATGTAATTTGAGTTATATTTTCTAAATACAAAAGCACTTCACAGCCTACTGAACCACCTGCCTTTATTGTATTTGATTCTGATTCAGCAACATATTTAAGCAAATGCCTGTCCTAGAACTCACACCCCTGTTGAGTAGAATTCATCTGCTTGGACATTTGCCTCTACCACAGTGCATGCCAGGAAAATACAAATAATTTTCAAACTTAGATCAGTCTGTCCAGGAAACTGGTTGCTACTCCTAGTATTAAAATGAGGATTTTTGAATATACATTTATTGCTTCTCAAGTGACAAAAAGTGTTGCAAAATACATGACTAAAAGAGCAGTGAGTATTCAACTCACAAGACAGATAGTTTCAACTGTTTATTAAATCAAAAAGTGAAGGCAATCTTTAAACAAACTACTCAATGAGAAAATTAAAACCAGATATAAAAGCAAAATGATTTTTGATAAATTCAGGATGTCAACTGTAAGACACTGGGTTTATTTACTGCACCAGTTCTAAAACTTATCTCCCTTTTCTTCAATATATTTCATGTCATCATATTTTACCATGAGGGGACAATGACAGTACCACATGAGACACATTCAGAAAGGGGATGCAAATAAAAACTTCAAAATAAAGGACTGGTATTCACAGGAGTTAGTAATACAAGCAAGTATTAATTAGACTGATTAAAGGCAATAAATTCTTGTTTCATAGGATTAGTAATCCTAACTCTGAACAATTTACATAACTCTTTCTCAGTAAGGTACAGATTCAAGAAAGAGCTTTTTGAAAGCTTGGGGACTTGTGCTTTGTCTTTGTGCTTCTATCATACTAGGACAGTCAGTCAAGCAGGAAAGTGTAGTAAGGGTGTTAGAAATTAATTAACTTTTACTAAGTATATAGGAAAAAACCATAAATCATATTCTAGCTCTATAGCAACATTTCTGCTTATATCACATCCATCATGATTCATTTTTTTTCATTAACATTGTGTTTGCTGACCTGCAAATGAGTAGGTTTGTGAACACTGGAGCATAAAGGGCACTGGATCCTGCACACCTGTGCCTCAGAGCTGCTGCACTACCTGGTGTTTCTAAAGGTCCTCACTGAGACCAACCATGCAGGGGGGGCACTGAGAGACAGCTGCTCTCCCTCCCATCCCAGGATTCATCTGCCCACCTGTTTTCATAAAGCTGGTAAAGAGAACTGAAGAGATGACACTGGACAATGGATTACTGGGTAGAGAGGACACCAAAGGCAGACACACAGGCATACACACATTATGGTATCTTCACTTCCAAAGGAATCAGTGCACAAATCTTTACACCTCGTTCCATTTTTATGGGCTACTTTTTACAGTAGGCAATGTGGCTGAATTCCTGTCTATTGCACTGCGTAAAACAAGACTGATGAAAAAGCAAATGGGAATTTGGGCCAGCCACAAGTATACAGATAAGCCCTGCACTTGAAATGAGAAGTAAAAGACCTGAAGAGGTTCAGAATCTTCTTTACTGCTGACCATCAGGCAAACACCTGTCAGGAAGCGACACAGACCTGAAAAATCTCCTGAGCTCTGCCTCGTGCGCCAGCTTGTACCTTCACTTACTTTTGCTTTTTATTTCCTCCTCAGGTACTTATGATGGCTCCACAGACAGCTGCAAAGGTGATTCAGGAGGGCCCCTGGTGTGCTTTGATGCAGAAGACGTGGCCTACGTGTGGGGCATTGTGAGCTGGGGTGAGAACTGTGGCGAGGCTGGTCACCCTGGCGTGTACACACAGGTTGCCAGCTATTATGACTGGATTAGCCACCATGTATCAAGGGGGCTCATTTCACGGTACAATATCTGAAGCTCAGAAAATTCAATGCTTCCTGCGTATCACCTATGTAAAAATAGTCCTTTTCTACAATCAGCTGTCACATAACTTAGCAACAATCAGTACAAATCTTCCAGGAATGCATTTTGAAAATTCTTAACACTCTCTGAATATCGCATTTTTGCAGAGCCTGTGGGAAAAGAATTTTACAGGCACAAGTCCACTGCAAAGGTCTCTAATAAAAGCAGATATTAAAATATTTTTTTCTTGTAATATTATTTTTTTCCACTTTTACCATTGCATTTCAGTTGTTGTTTATTTAGCTAAAAGGGATAATGATACTGGAAGCAGTGGTTGGAAAATGACTGCACTGGCAAGTGAACTTCACAGAAAGGACAGCAGCCAGCCTGCTTAAAAGAACTTGCATCATCTCGAGGTCTAAGTCACCAGAAATCCTCAGCAGGCTGCCTGGCTTGGCACTTGATTCTTTAGGTTTATTGCAGAAGAAGACTTCAGTCCACCTATTAATCAACAGATTGCCTATGACCATGAGATTTGTTGCAATGCAACAATTGCTCAAATAATAAATATCCTTGATAGTTTTTCCATCTACAAACTCAGACAATTACTATCTAGTCAATATACATCATCTGATCATCTAGCCTGGGGCAATTTTTGTAGTTCTTAAGTTTTATTAATTTAACAGCAGCTGGTCACAAACAACAAAGGAATTTTGAAACTTAAATATTCAACTTAAATCAATAGCATCTTGACATCTTAAGATCTCTATGTATGTATTTATATTTCAGGTATCCAACAAAATCTCAACACCAGAGTTTTACTCTACACACTATCACACACTCTATGTGCATCTGTATTCTTATATACATACATTTTATATAGCAATATAAACATGTAAAAAGACAATACCTTATACACATAGATTTAATTCTACAAAACCATGTAGCAGACACAAAGTTAGACTTCTTGCTGTCATAAAGAAAACATCAGGCTATACACAATACCTTCTCATTCAGCAAGAGCTGCTCACAAAAAGTGTGCACAAATTCTTTTTGAAGCAGTAGAATTTGATTTGTGGATTGGTACCCTCAACACAAAGCTCACATAGCTCCAGCCAGTTGTATGAAAATGATCAATAGCTTTAGAACATTTTTCACTGTATTCTGATGACAAATACTTTCAATATCTATTTCACTTTATTTCTCTAAATTATCCTGCTGAATAAATTGCATATGTTCACACAACACAGTTGTTGTGGTGCTATTTCTTCTATAATTCGGCACAGTCTGACAACAACAATTTTTACATTTTTATTGACTTTTCTTCATCTTCCAGACTTGTAAAAACCCCACATCAGCATGACTGTGGTGTAAAGACACCATCGGTCACCAAAATAACTAAAGTAAGGGCATGAATTCTTTCTCTTAACAAACACACACACCCTCAACAAAGTTTGCTATTTAGGAAAGCTTTTAAGCACATTCCTACACAGAAATTATTTTGCTGAATCAGGGTCTTGGTAAAGAAATCCTAAAAAGGGAAACACTGGAGAGATGTACAAAGAGCTCCCTCTTTTGTCTGACTTAATTTTTGTGTGAAAAACTTTTGCCATCAATTTCATTAGGTAAGTACACATTATATTAAATGCTGAGGTTGCCAATTAAAATAAAATAAAATAAAATAAAATAAAATAAAATAAAATAAAATAGTAGAATATGTGTCTTTATGCCCTGTCTGTTCTGAAAGTCTCTCGGTTCTCTTTCCATTTCTGGTTCTTCTTTACATTTAACTTTAGCCCTGAAGCCAAATACTACTGTTTTCTGAGGGATTCCACATAACATCACACAGAGTTTTCATTACAAAAATTAAAACAATTTTCACGTTGTTCCAATACAGTTCATCTGTGAAGCATCTAGCATTTAGATATAATTTTTGTTTTAAAATTCTGAAAACCAAACACGGTGCTTAGTAAGAAAGTTCATTCTGGTCTGATTTTTCTTTTGAACAAATCTAGACTGGACTTTTACCGTTTAACAGATACACATTCATTTCGCTCCGCTTCTCAACCTCTCCTTGCACTTTTGGCGATGCCATGAGAATCACTCACGTACAAACACGGCCGGGTCAGTTTCCTTCCCACCAACATGGTCACAAACTTCGGTACCTCCGGGGCAGCGCCGAGCTGCCGGGTACCAGGGCAGGTCCCGCTTGTCGCTGCCCTGGTTCGGAGGGCCGCGCACGGCACAGGGGACAGGGCTGAGGGGACAGGGCACAGGAGACATGGCACAGGTCAGAGGGGACAGGAGACATGGCACAGGGGACAGGGCTGAGAGGACAGGGCACAGGGCTGAGGGGACAGGGCACAGGAGACATGGCACAGGGC